CTTAGTTTAATAATGAAATTATCAAATATATGGATGGTTTTTTTTTCATTTTATAGAAAACTGTTCCTGGTCATCTTCCCTTGCTTGTTATTTATTAAAATATCTTGTGACATTAACCACTGTTCACAAGGCTTTCCCGGAGAATGGAAGAGATAACATTGATCAAAATGCATTGTACTCATAAACTGACATGCTGAATTAAAATCCTTTTGTACAAATACTTAAAGGTAATTTTTAATATATGAAAATACAAAAACAACATATAAAAAGACAAAGCAAAACCCAATGCTTTCTTTCATTTGCATTTTCTTCTTCAATCCTTACAGCCTAGATTACACTCTAAATCCTATTTTACATGAACAAGTTAGTGCTATAGATCTGTACTGAAAACCTGTATTTCTTCACCCACTGGAAACCAAGATAATCATTTGTTTTGCAGTAATGGCCCATACTTACCACAACCACCCATTACCTACGATAAGAGCTCATACTTGCCAAAATGGCCCATACCTGCTGTAATCAAGTAAGTAGCAACAATGTTGTGTTCAGTTTCTGAAAAGACAGAGCCATCTTCATTTCTAGAGCCTGAACTGTTACCTACATTATTCCTTAGCATCATGGGGGAGAGCTATGGAGACTACTTACACAATAAGACCTCAATAATTATGATCTGCTTTAATAGCCTGGGAGGAAAGATTTGTCAGGACCAATCATTTCCACCTACAGAGCTCAGAAAATGGTCTTTTCATACAGGCCCTGCTTAACAAATGGAATTGGGCTAAAGAGGAAGGGATTTTAATGCCCAGAATATGGGAAAAGCTTATTAGTGAAACAAAGAGAGAAACACTAAGTCTCATACCAGCTTTTATGCTGAAGCAGGTCACCAAGCACACCCGTCCTGCTTAAGCAATACACAGTCAGTGAAGGAGATGACTGAACTCCCTTCTGCCTGAAATTAAAAACTTGTTTGGTCCTATGTAACTAATCAGATTAAGTACTCTGTGGTCTGTTGCCCACTTGAGCTGTTAGATTTCAGTTTCCTTTGTGTTTAACGATTTATATACTTAGAGGTAAAGAGTAACCTCTCCCCTCTGTATTTTCATATCTCACTCCCCTACAGGTATCAATATTGTTTGGTGTATATCCTTTTAATGCTTTACTTTGCTCATACAAACATCCATTCGTACAAATGTATATGTATGCTTGTTTACAAATGTTTGAGGTTTCTCTGGCTTTTTTACTTTTTTTTGGGGGGGGGGGGGGTCCAGTCATGGGGCCTGAACTCTGGGTTCTGGGTGCTGTCCCTCAGCTCTTCAGCTCAAGGCTAGCGCTCTACCACTTGAGCCACAGCACCACTTCCGGCTTTTTTCTTTTTGCTTATGTGGTGCTGAGGAATCGAACCCAGGGCCTCATGCATGCAAGGCAAGCACTCTAACACTGAGCCACCTTCCCAGCCCCGGCTTTTTTAGTTTGAAACAAAATGGAGAATATATTATGTATTATCATTGTGTTACATGTAACCATTGTGTGTGTATAAATTATATAGCTTGCTTTCCCTTAAATACCATACTATAAATCCCAGGCTAATAATCCTAGGTCTAATTTTACTAATATCTATATATTTTGCCACATGGATATACCATGATCTACTCAACAATCTATCTTACATTTTGGTACATGCATAGTAATTAATATTGTGTAGTAACAGTAATAATATCAGTAAAGTAACTGGATTCAATAGCTCATTAATCTTGTAAAGCACAAGTTAATTTTACTATTGTTTTGCTGTTATAACCAGAAAAAAATGGATCACAATCTAATGTGACATGCATTGTTAGAATGAGAAGGTATGCCCTAATGTCTTTTGTCAATATTCTTTATACCATGTAAAATTATTCAAATAAATACCACTCGTTAATTTCTTACAAATCAGTACTACCTGAGAAATTCTTTAATGTGCCAAAGGTAACAGTGCAAGCATAGAAGAGAACCACTAGAGGGCTGTATTTGCCCACTTACTTACTTTAATTTTATAACTGAAGAAGATTTATCTCTTTTCTCATATAAACTCATTAGGAATAGTTGATAGTTTCAAATCTTCTAGACATCAGATATAAAAGTAGTACTTATTTTTCTTTTTTGCTGATGGTAGAGCTTGAACTCTGGGCCTGGACGCTGTACCTTTGTTCTTCAGCTCAAGGCTAGTGCTCTACCACTTGGGCCACAGCACCACTTCGTTTTCTGAGTGTTTTATTGGAGATAAGACTCTTCACGGACTTTCTTGCACGGGCTGGCTTTGAACCACTATCCACAGATCTCAGCCTCCTGAGTAGCTAGGGTTACAGGCGTGAGCCACCAACGTTGGGCTCAGTAGAACTTTTAGGAGTACCTATAGCTGGGTGCTGCTGGTTAAATCCTGCAATCCTGTTTAGGAGGCTGAAAGCAAGATGATCTGAGGCCAGCCCGGGCAGAAAGTTTCTTGAGATGCCATCTCAGCAGCTGAGTGCCAGTGGCTCACACCTGTAATTCTATGTATTAAGATTTGAAAGCCGGGCGGCTCACACCTGTAATCCTAGCAACTGAGGAGGCTGAGATCTGAGGATGGCAGTTCAAAGCCAGCCCGGGGAAGGAAAGTCCATGAAACTCTTACCTCCAATAGACCATCAGGAAACCGGTGGCGCTGTAGCTCAAGTGGTAGAGCACTAGCCTTGAGCTGAAGAGCTGAGGGACAGTGCTCAGGCCCAGAGTTCAAGCCCCACGACAGACAAAAACAAAAAACAAAAAACAACAACAACACAGGTGCATTGTCTATATTCCAAGCTATTCAGGAGGTAGAGATCAGAAGGATCTTGATTCAAGTCTAGCCTGGGCAATAAGTGAGCAATTTCAACCAATTAACACTGTGCTTGGTGATGAGTACCGGTCACCTCAGTTATTTCATAGGAAATGGAAATAGAATCATAGGCCAGTCTGGTCAGGTAAAAACCCTCTGGATGTGTGGCTCAAATGGTACAGCATGGAATTAAGCTCAAGTCAAGTGCCAGTGGCTCACACCTGTAATCCTAGGATCTAAGGATCGTGGTTCAAAGCCAACCTGGGCAGGAAAGTCATAAACCACCAGGAAACCGGAAGTGGTGCTGTGACTCCAGTGGTAGAGTGCCAGCCTTGAGCTGAGGGTAGCCCCCAGGCCCAGAGTTCAAGCTCCATGGTGGACAAAAAAAGTTTAAGCTCAATGACCCCCATCCTGTACCACCAAAAATGAAAGGCTGGACAGCTTGTTCCTATAGCTGAGTTTTAGAGACAGAAACACAGTAGGTAATTCTAAGTAATTATGTTTCCTGCATGAGTAATACAGAAAAGCTATATTGGGAGGAAGCTTAGGTATGCGAATGTAAGTGTATTGTGTTTATATAGCCCACAACACTTAAAAATTTCATCTCCTTCCTCAATCAGTCAAATAGCAACCTTCCTCATTCTTCACAAAGTTTAAAGCACCAGGAAGTATGCATGCTAAATTTTTGTTGCCCTAACAAGGACATTTTTGGCATGAAAGCAATCAAGAGTGCTATTCAGTTAGCTAGCAACCAAAAGATATAAAATGTGATCATCAAAGTATTTTTTACAACAGAATTTACTGATTATTACACTACCAAACTCAATGTTAGACTCATAAATATGCCAACTTAATTCAAAACATGAAATACCCTAAAGCAAATTCTGCATATTACTATAGGTCAAATGAGATATGGAAATGTTTAAAGATGGTCATTGACCAAAAAATAATTTTATATATATATATATATATATATATATATGGGAAATGAACAAAGTGGCCTCCATCATTTCCATTTTAGTTTAAATACTAAACACCAATAGTAATGTTGAACTATTACCTATCCTCTGACAGTACCATTCTTCTCTATGGTTAGGACTATTTACAAACTGCTAACACTTTCACCCCAAGGATTCAGAATCAGCCATCTTTCTGAGGCTGTAAAAGCATTATGCCCCCTTCCTGTACTTATTCAACATTCATATTTATGTTCTATGTATCTATTAATCCTGCTACAGTTAATAAGGATAACTAAAATCCAAAATATGAACCCACACAAAATTATATGAACATATAAAATCAATCACTCTGAGGGAAGGGGGAACAATGTTCAAAAAGAAATGTACTCATTACCGTATGTGTAACCCCTCTGTTCATCATCCTTACAATAAAACAAAATAAAATAAAAAATCATTCATGTGAGAAAATTCAAAAATATAGATATTTCCTTCTGAGAAGTAACAAGGAAGAAAGCCAGTCAATAGTAATGGGCAAATGGTTCCATACTGAGGTATTCAAACATGCTATTATGGTTACTTATAATACTAAACTAGTAATGGAGACCCAAATCAATTCCATTTTAACAATTTCAGTGTCTAAACATGTGCTAGGGATCTAAATAAATACGGTAACGCCTTAAACGTCTATAGAATCATTTTATTAAAAAAGGAAAGAACCTTCAGTAAGGCCTTCAACATCACTGAATAATGAAAATAGAATTTTTCTTTGGAATTATAGTTCTTACTTAAAACCAAGCTACTCAAATTTTAAATTGCACATTAGAATCTAATTTTATAGTCATCATCATTATTAATAACCACACAAAAATATTTCAGTTGAAGGTATGGAACTTGAGCACAGGGCTTATGCTTGCTAAGCAACACTACATTTGAGCCATGCCTCTTGCCCTATAATCTATTAACTGCCTTTAGAAAACAGCTTTATTCTATATACTAATGCACATAAGTGAACTAGTCTTCTCTCAATTAAAAAGGTAAATATGTGATAGAGGTGCTAACTTATAATCTCAAAAGTATTGCTCTACTAGCCTGTTACATGGAATATTCTAAGTACATAAACATTCCCTTTCTGTAATCTCCTGGATTTAAGCTTAAATTCCTTCAAATGTCCAAAAGTTAGTTTGTTTAAATAAACACACTCTAAAGAATTTAAAAGGAATAAAATGTTTATTTTAAAAATTCAAAATATGGTTCAAATGAAAATTCCTGTCCATTTATTGAGCACCCACGGGGTGCTAGGCATTGTATCACACTGTTAAGACTTGCTCCTGCTCTTTTAATCGATGGTTCCGATACATCTGACTTTATATGATGTTGCACTGAGTCCCACTGTCAAAGACTGCTATCTCCAAATGGCTCAAGACACAAGTTCCTTATCCACAGTAGAAGCAGGTCGCTCCGTCATCACAGAACTCAACTGGCCAAGTCTGATTACATCTAATGTCCTCTCCCTAGTCAAAAGAAAAATCAAAGTGTTAAGGAATATTTAATAAACAGAACTATCACTGTCAGTATCACACTTAAAATCAATAGTAGTTTCTATAATATCCAATAAAAAAACCTTACTAAGTTTAACTGTAATACTATTACATATTTATTTTTTAAACTAATAGCAATGTAAGTTGAAGGTGGTGAAAAATTAAAAGGGAAATGCAAAGAAGAGTGATTAACAAAGACATTAGTTAAGCAAAAACATCCATGTGCTATATCAGTGCTAAGAGAAGAAAATAAAGACCTATAGAGAAACTGACAGTTTCTTTCAGTAAATATATCCAGTTACTTCATATATTCTCATACTCACCTCAGAAGCCACCACCCCCTCTTCCTCCTCTGAAGCCTCCACCTCCTCTCCCACCTCTAAAACCACCTAGAACAGAAAATAAAATACTAAGTATCTATGGCCTTCCATATTCCAGTAAATTCAATAGATTGTTATAGTCATAAAGAATGTACACTCTCTTGTCTAGTTTTAAACATTTTTTAAAAGATAAAATGCAGGGCTGGGAAGGTGGCTCAGTGGTAGAGTGCTTGCCTTGCATGCATGAGCCCTGAGTTCGATTCCTCAGCACCACATAAGCAGAAAAAATAAAAAGCTGGAAGTGGCATGTGGCTCAAGTGGTAGAGCACTAGCCTTGAGCTGAAGAGCTGAGGGACAGCGCCCAGGCCCAGAGGTCAGGCCCACGACCGGATCCAAAAAAAAAAAAAAAAAGATAAAATGCAAACAGCAAGTGCAGTGGTACAACACATGTCACTTGGGGTTTATGGTTTTGGTTGTGAAGATTCTCTGAATCACTTGTTGGACTACGTATGGCCCAATGTGTTTGAGACATCTCCCCATGTAATCCAGACAGTTATGGGAGCCCTGGAGGGTCTGAGAGTTGCTATTGGACCATGTAGAATGTTACAGTATTGTCTACAGGGTCTGTTTCATCCAGCTCGGAAAGTCAGAGATGTGTATTGGAAAATTTACAACTCCAGCTACATTGGTTCACGGGACACAATCACAGCACATTACCCAAGAATCTACAATGATGATAAGAACACCTATATTCGTTATGAACTTGACTATATCTTGTAACTTTGTTTATTTTGTGTCTAATACACAGCTGTTTCACACCTTAAACTTGCTTCAATTTGGTGATGTAAACTTTTAAACATTGCAGATCAGTATAGAGCTGGTCATAGAGGAAGAACTAGAAATCCAGTAGCATTATTTTTAAATAACCTGTCTTTGTTTTTGATGTTAAAACAGTAAACAGTAGTGACCAAGAACTCAGTGATTACACACGCTATACTGGAGGGATTTCATTTTTAGTTCATCTTTATGAAGATTTAGAATTCATTCCTTGTGTTTAAAGGGAATGTTTAATTGAGAAATAAACATTTGTGTACAAAATGCTAAAAAAAAAAAAAAAAAAAGACAAAATGCACCAGTGGCTCATACCTGTAAGGCTAGCTGTTCAGGAAGCTGAAACCTGAGGACTGAGGTTCAAAGCCAGCCTGGGCAGAAAAGTCTGTGAGACTCAAATTAATCATCCTCCGGGAAATGGAGTTGTGGCTCAAGTAGTAGAGTGCTAGCCTTGAGCACCAAAGCTCTGGGACAATACCCAGAGCTACTGGCCTGTGTTTCCTCTATGTTGTATTGGTATTATAGTGTATTCCTTTTGCTTTATAAAAAGTTCGCTGTAAAACAGTATGCCACATGGTATAACAAAGATCTCATATTTACTGTCTCTCAACTGCATCAAGAGCCCACGCTGAGTGAATAACCCACACCATGTAGATTTGTACAATTTCCCTTTATGACAGTTACACAACAATGAAATTGCCTGATAGTTCATCTCCAGACTGCATCTCTCTCATGAAGCAATAAATGATTAATTTATTAGAATCCCTAAGACATCCCCTCAAATTAAAATACCTCAAAGTACACTTAAGATTTTTAAAGGTGTTAAAAAAGCAATATATACAATCTGCCAATATTTGAAAGGTTTACTGAAATAAATATTGAGTTTGCCTACAAGTGGAATTATATGATATGAATTAAATGTGTCTATGAAATCTCATTAGAAAATTTCCCCCCAAAACTTACCACCTCTACCACCGCCTCTGCCTCCTCCACCTCTGCCTCCTCCACCTCTTCCTCCTCCTCTACCTCCCCTGCCACCGCCTCTCGGAGGTCCTTTTTCACCTGGAGGCCGAGGTAAAAACCTCTGCAGTGGCAAGAGCTTGTATGGGTCTATGTAAAACTGAAAGTTTAACAGAAGCAATTAGGCGATGACTTACTTGGGAATAGCAGAATACAATCAAAACTGCCTGTGTTTAAAGCCACCCATACCACTTAGTGTGTGTAGCTATGCGCAAGGACTTATTTTATACTACCTGGTTTTCTTACCTATAAAATGTATAGAGCAAAATACCCATCACTGTATGTTTTGTGTAAGGTTAGCAAAACGATGTTATTATCAGCACTGGTCTTCACACTAATAATCCAGACTGGATCAGGCAGGGCTGAACTTAAACACAGCAATGAATTGGAAATGGAATACATGCCCAATTCATTAGACATGACTTAAAAGAAAAAAAACACTAAATAACATATCCTCAAGTAAATAGTAGTGTGAGAAAAGTCTGGGATGCAAATCAACTCAAGTAGCTCTAAGGAGCACTTTATCTGGTTACCAGGTGATCTATTCTCAACACTATTTATCTGTAGACTCTTCAGCCCCAGGCACATCTTGTTAAAGTTTTCACAACAGAAATGCCTTCCATTTCACTTCTGACTCTATAGTCAGAAATGGGCCACCACTCCATTGGCCACTACCGCTTAAAGTCTTTAACCTCTATGTTGTTGGTAAATCCAGTGAGTCCCTTCTAGCACTGTGCCACAGTTGAGTGCTCCCTCTACAGATACTCCCTTCTATTACAGATTTTACTTTTTGTTGTTGGGGCTTGAACTCAGGGCCTGGGTACAGTCCTTAAACTCTTGCTAGCGCTCTACCACTTGGAGCCACAGTCCCACTTCCCAGTTTTCTGATGGTTAATTGGAGATAAGAGTCTCACAAACTTTCCTGCCTGGGCTAACTTTGAACAGCAATCATCAGATCTCAGCCTCCTGAGTAACTAGGATTAAAGACATGAGCCACCAGTACCCAGCATACTGCTGCCTTTTTAAGTTGTTCACTGTCTCAGAGATTTTGCCCAGTTTTCTGTAATCAGAACACACCTTTCCTGTGAAGAGCTGAGTGGGTTCCCAAGTGCTTGTCCAACTGCATCAAAATTATTCAGGAGCTTTTGCTTTTTAAAACTGAATCTTGAGCCCTATTTCAGAGCAGCTAGGTCACATTTCTAGTAATAGAATCAATGTAAAAGGACATTGACTATAAAAGCTCTTCCTTCCTCACCACTAACTGTAATATGCTAAAAGACTTTCCTAGTTGGGGCTGGGAAAGTGGCTCAGTGGTAGAGTGCTTGCCTCACATGCATGAGGTCCTGGGTTCGATTCCTCAGCACTACATAGACAGAAAAAGCCAGAAGTGGCACTGTGGCTCAAGTGGTAGAGTGTTTTGCCTTGAGCTGAAGAGCTCAGGGACAGCACCTAGGCCTGGAGTTGGGCCTGGAGTTCGAGCCCTATGACCGACAAAAAAAAAAAAAGAATGAGAAGACTTTCCTAGTTGACTTTCAGGTCTCAGCTTTAAGATCACTTCCTTAAGGAAGCCTACTATAAACTAACATGGTCCCACTGGGAAGGTTCTCACAGTAGCTTGTATTCTCCACAGCACGCATCATGTCACTGCAGTACTTGTGTAATCCTTTAATATCTACCTCCTCCAAATACGGGGTTTTGTGGCGCAGAGAGGAAAACAGAGCAAACTGGTGCCTTATACACACTAAGCAAGTGTTCTACCACTGAGCTGACGGTCCCAAATATGATTTATAATTCAACATTCTGCTCAGAAGGTTTAGCTTCTATAGGCTTTGACAGGAATTTTAAATAAATTAAAAAGCATAGTCAAACGTTGCTAATATGAGTAAGGAAAGCTCTATCAATTGCTCTTAAAGATTAATGTCAATGTTTTAAAGTACAGAACACATCAGTGTAAGAGCTTCAGCAGTGATACACCAGGGGAGTATAAAGTGACCCGAGTAGCACTATCTCTCGTAAGGCATTCCGTGGCTTGCACCTGTAATCCTAGTGACTCAGAAGGCTGCAAGCTGGAGGACGATGTTATAAAACCAGACAAAGCAGTGAAGTTTGCTAGTCTCCACTTTCAAACAACAGCAAAAAAACAGTGGTAAAAAGCCACAACTCCAATGGTAAAGTGCCAGCAGAGCAACCACAAGGACCTGAATTCAAACTCCAGTACCAGTAATAAAAAAATCAAAACAAGGATCCAAATTTTATAAGCTTAACTCACCTTCTGTAGTTTTTTAAAGGAACCTGCCTTCATGTTTTCTGATAATTTAACTGAAAAATACTGTTAGTTTTATTAAGGAACAAATTTAAGATGAAAGATATTAAGTCTTCTGAATTCATGTATAATTTAAAAAACAAAATGAGAATGTATAGACACATAGGAAAGAAATGAATTTCCAAGAGGAAAGAAAACTTTCTTTAAAATACAAAAGAAACTTCCAATTCTACCATACTATTATAGTGGCACCGTCACATCCAAAGCACCCAAAAAAAAAATCCCTGTGTCCTACTTTCCCAAGTGGGAGTTTATATAACTTTTGAAAAATAATCTCTCTAGGGTTTGTCATTTCCATACATGGATGAATACAATCTCTCCTCCTGATTCTTTTCATTATCTAATTCTGTAGCATTGTTATTTTAGGCAATAAATTTAATTTGTATTTAATCTTAAGAAAATAGTAGATTCTCAATGTACTAGATCACGCAATTAGTAAGGATACAAAATCTCTAAGTTGTCCAAATATTTCATCCACCTTTCCAATTTGTTCTTTGTTTTCTAAATAAACAGGGGCATTGAAATAAGGAACCTTATTTTCTTCTGTGGTACATTTACAAACTATGTCATCTTCACAGGGATGCAGGAATTCTCCTAATACTGAAATGGGAAGAAAATATTAAAAATATAAAACATTTTTTCAAGTAATATTGACCTCTCCTTAAGATTCCATCTTCCACTTGGAATTTCATCCTATCTGTTCTCCTCTAAAGTAGATGAGCAATTACTAACAACACATTAGCTACAGCATTCTTTTAAATATGGGACTAATAACATTGTCAGTCACATGTACACCTGACGAAGTAAATGAATGTCGAGTCCTTTGAACAGTGTGTGGCAGACTAAGACCATTCAACCTATGACAGTTACTTATTATAGCTACTACGATTTCATTGAACACCATACTTCATTCTCCTTTCTTCAACTCCTAAACGGGACTCATTCTTTGCTCTTGTCTATTTTTCCCACGCTTTGTCAATGATTCTTAGTTAGAAAGGTCTACAACTCCAAAATAAGTACCTTCGTTTCAATTACTCCCAACTAAAACATCACAAAAGTAACTCCCTAATCCCTACCAGCCAAGCTTTTATCCCACTATTAACTAAGTTCTCCTTATTTTCTTTCCCTTGAAATCTTTCACCTAATCCTTTTCTTTTTTTTTGGGGGGGGGGGGGTGCCAACATATTAAATCATGCTCTCAATGTCTCCTATACAGATTGTTACAACAGTTTGTAGGGTGAGACCTTTGATTTGAGCTATTGCTTCCTTCAAACCACGATCATACAGACCCACACACTCTTAAATACTGTCCCTGCCCTCCCCTTCCTTTTTTGTATTTATTTATGGTAGTACTGGGATTTGAACTCGGGACCTGGCACTTAGTGGGCAGGAACACTACCACTTGAGTCACATGCCCAGTCTTCTTCTTTCCCCTTTAGAAAAAGTTGCTACTAGCTGGGCGCCGGTGGCTCACACCTGTAATCCTAGCTACTCAGGAGCCTGAGATCTGAGGATCACGGTTCAAAGCCAGCCCGAGCAAGAAAGTCGGTGAGACTATCTCCAATAAACCACCAGAAAACCGGAAGCGGCGCTGTGGCTCAAGTGGTAGAGCACTAGTCTTGAGCTGAAGAGCTGAGGGACAGCGCCCAGGCCCAGAGTTCAAGCCCCACAACAAACCAAAAAAAAAAGGTTGCTACTACCCAAGATGTCTTTCTTTCTACGACTTCCTTTAATGAGGTCTGTTTCTTACTTTTCTTTTCTCTCCTGTAGGTTACTTCCTGAGCAATTTTTATTTCTCACAACTTACTTCTTAGTAACTGAAGCACAGACTGTGAAGTCTGAAAAACTAGTTTGTACTTAAACTGTACCATTATGTGATCACTTACTCATCTGTTAAAAAGAGCAGCCCCTTCTAACACAACCTCTAATGCAGCATGCGATATTGCCTAATTTCATCCTTTCCTCCTAAGCTCAAGTTCCACCTACATCATTGCATTTTCGGTATCCTTCAGCTTTCTTCACTACCTCCACGTACTCTGGAGTAAGAACTGCAAGTCAGTTTACAGCACAGTCCACACAGACTTGTTTCCCCGACCAAACTGCCACCACCATGGGAGAGCTTACAGGATCCAACCTTCAGCCCCCAACACCCACTGGCTAGTAAACAGCAAACTCGCCAATAGCACAGACCCCTAGGCTAAGCCTGGAAGCCGACGTACGGACTACGTGATCCGGGGGTCCTTGATCTTGGCCTTTGTTAAAGCCTCCGCGGCCGCCACCCCGGCCGAATCCTCCTCGGCCGCCGCCGCCGCCTCTGAAACTGCCGCCGCCGCCTCCACCTCGGAAGTGGTTGTTGCTACCGCCGCCCCGGTGGAAGCCGCCACCTCCGCCGCCCCGATTAAAGCCTCCACGACCGCCTCCTCGGAAAGACATCGCTCCTGCAACGCAAAACGGAACAGTCCGCTCCTGCCGGTGACTGTGATCTCCCAACACCAATCGCAACGCTGTCACCGCGCCACCTCCATGCCAAAGCCCACGGGAAGCGGGCGACCTGCCCCGGGCCCAGGGCGGGCGCCGACCGGCTCCGCGCCAGCCCCGCCGCCCCGCGTCCGTACCTCTCCCCGCGGCAGACAGCTACGTACTCCATCCCCTTCCCCCCCCCCCCCCCCAGCACCCTCCACGCCGCGGCTCCCGCGAGCACTCACCGGCGCCACGTGCAGCCCGGACTCGGGCTCAGAGCGCACACCCACCCGCCGCGCACTTCCGGCCCGCCGGGACCTCCTCGGCCACCGTACCGGTAGTTTAAAAAAAAAAAAAACACGACCAGAAACTCAAAGAACTAGTTCCAAAACGAAATGAAATTAAACAAAGCCTGCCCCGCCCCCCCCCCCGGAAGACCGGCGGTCCTAAATGCCAGACAGAGCCCGTATAACACCGGGAAAGGCAGCGACAGCTAACTCCCGTCGCTACGAGAGCGAAGACCACTTCCCTCCTGAGGGCGGCGGAAGTGACGTCAAAGGTCCGCGTCCCTTCGCGCCGAGTCGCTCCCGGAAGTGCCGCGGCGTCGGCGCCGGGTGGAGATGGCTGTTGCCGGAGGCGGAGCCGGGGCTGGTGTTGGTATCGGGCTGGGTTCGGGGGCCTGCGGCCGGGGGACCCCCTTGCTGCCCAGCCGGCCACACGGTCCCCCCAGCCTTGCCTCTTCGCTCCGCTCTTGCGCGCTGCCACGGCGCGGGCGCAGCCGGGGCGGTCGGAGCTGCGCTCGGCCCACAGGTGGGTCCGGCCCGCCCGGGGAGGCGCCTCTGCGGCCCGGTCTCCGCCCTGTCTCCTCCTGATTGTCTTTTTTTTAATGATGTCCTTTTGCGTGCTGCCCTGCGCTGCCCTGCGGCCGTGGTTTCGCTGGTTTTATTTCGTTTTAGTGCCAGCCTTGGGTTTGAATTCAAGGCTGTCCCTGAATACTTTTGTTCAGGCCGAGCGCTCCGTCACTCGAGCCACAGCTCCACTCCCGACTTCTTGGTGGTGAATTGGAGATAGGGATCTCAGAGACTTCGAACCACGATCCTCCTATCGCGGCCTCATGCTTTTATGGGTTAAAGCAACAAAAGCCGAGTATGTGCACGCGTTTAAGGAAACTGTTAACCTGGTAGAAAACCAAACTGTCATCGAATGTTTTGTACCAGTTTATTCGCTCATCAAATAACTTTTTTTTTTTTTTTTTGTCAGTCATGGGGCTTGAACTCTGGGCCTGGGCGCTGTCCATCAGCTCTTCAGCGCAACGTTAGCGCTCTACCACTTGAGCCACAGTGCCACTTCCGGCCTTTTCTGTTTAGGTGGTGCTGAGCAATCGAACCCAGGACCTCATGCACGTAAAGCAAGTGCTCTACCACCGAGCCACCTTCCCAGCCCCTCAAATAATGTTTTGAGCCTTGGTAGTTCTGTGGGCCAGCCTGTTCTAGAAGCTTCCCGGCCTGGCCTTGAACCTTTGATATATGACAACTCTTCCCATTCACCTTCACTAAAACCTCTTTCATAATAAAAGTAGTGACCTCCATTTATTAAATATGGTTGGCGTCTTTTATACTCAATTCCTCTAGGACCTTGCCTTTATATTTGATATAGTCTACTTCCACTTCTTTGACATTGATACCCACTTCACAAGGGGTTTGAAAGACCTTTGTAAATTTTTTTATGGAAATACTGGGAATTCCTTTAAATCATGTAAAATCTAAGCTTCCTGAAGGAGCACCTAACAGCTCCACATATACATGGAATTTGGCAAATTATTTATTTTTTGTCAATGCTGGGACTTGAACTCAGGGCTGCTAGTGAGCTTGGCTTTTTCACTCATGGCTGGTGCTTGACCATTTGAGCCATGCCTCCAGCCCAACTTTTTGCTGGTTCATTGGATGGAGATGGAGTCTCACAGACATTGCTGCCCTGGCTGGTATTGAATCATGATCCTCAGACCTCAGCCTCCTAAGCAACTAGGATTATAGGTGGAGACACTGGTACCTGGCTGTTTCTCTTCTGTGAAGGACAGAATGCTTTTCTTTCACAGAAATACAGAACTTGTAAAAGGGCAACCAGTATGTTTACTTTCTGCTTACACAAAGTTCACCTTCTCTCACAGGTGTTCAGGCTGAGAAGAGTCAGGGAAGGGGCCCTCATTAATTTATACACATGTGTCAAGGTGAACAAAAATACGATTTAATTTGTTCTCTAATTCTCCCAAATAGTTTTCTGGAAGACTTAAGACTTCCTCATTCTCAACTGCAAGCAGAAGTGGAAACATTTTAAAACAAATATTTTTTGCAATATGACTTTTTCCAAATATTCAATTTCCACTTAAACCCAGAAATATTGCTGAGTGCAAATATTTTCTCTAGGTCCTTGAAAGTACTTGTTTGACTAGTTCATGTGATAAAACAATATCTGTCAAGTAGGCTGTTTCTACAACCATCCCTTAGCTTTAAAGCATTTTACAAAGTCTGGACCTACTGTTTTCTGGGAATTACTCCTATAATTCATCTTACAAATCAAACATGCTTTAAGAACTAAAGCCTGTATTTCTCTTACCAGGTAATAAATTACCCTGACACCTGGTGACCAAAAGAACAAACACTGCCTTATATAGTTTCTGTAAGGCAAGGATTCTGGAATATTTAGCTGGGTAGTTCTGTCTCAGGGTTTTTCAGCAAATTGGAATCAAAATGCCATTCTTTGAAAGCTTGACTAGAACAGGAGGATTCTTTTCTAAAGGAGCTTGCAGCCAAGCCTGGAAACCTGACACTGCTCACCTGCAGGAAGTCTAAGTCATGTGCTACAGGGGCCTTGTTTTTTGATGGTACTGAGAGTTTGAATTCAGAGCCTTGCACTTAACTAGTCAGGTACTCAACCACTTGAGCCACATAACCAGTCCTTTTTAGATAGGGTCTTAGGCTAGCGTTGGACCATGATCATCCCAATGAGCTGTGATTATAGGCCTGAACCACCTTGCCCAGCCCTGCACGGTTTTCTTTATGGTATGTCATCAACTGCCTTCTTTTAGAACAAATAATCTCCTAAACCATGAGATTTGACAAGTATTATATGTTGAATATGAAATGACCCCACAGGTTCATGTGTTACATGCTGGCTCCCCCACTGGTAGCAGTATTTTGAGAGGTGGTGGAAACCTTGGGATATGGGACCTAGCCAAAGGAAGGGGTCCCTGGGAGCTTGATTTTGAAGGTTATACCTCATCTCACCTTTCTTTGCTTCCAGGCCACTGTGATGTGAGCTGTTGTGCTCTGTGCCACATTCTCCCCACCATGATCGACCAACACCTCTGAAACCTGGAACCAGAATAAATAATTCTCCCCTTAAGTTGTTTATGTGAGTGATTTGGTCAAAGCCACATGGAAGTTGGCATCATCCAGAAGTTTTATGTTGCTTTGGGTTTTGTTATTTGTTTTTTTCTGAAACAGGGTCCAGATATGTGACCCAAACTGGTTTCGAGCTCATGATCTTCCCACCTTAGCCTACTAAATGCTGGGACTACAAATGTACTTTATACACCCCATTCATTCATCCAGAACTTTTTTCATTTCAGTACCAGGTCCTGACATCAGCATTTCTGTGGAAATAAAGCATGTGCTGTAAATACCTTGCTTTTATTTTACTTTCTTTCCTTTCCTTTTCATTTTCTTTTTTCAACAAAAGGTGAAACCTAACAGGGAGTTGATCATTGATGGGCAATATCCATACAGATAGGGACATACTTCTTCCAAGATACGCCTTTTATTTTCAAAATGAAGATAACACTAAATATATCTTCACCTTTGCTTTTGGGGACAGTATTTTATTTTATTTATTTTTTATCAGTCGTGGGGCTTGAACTCTGGGCCGGAGCACTGTCCCTCAGTTCTTCAGCTCATAGTGCTTTACCACTTGAGCCACAGTGCCACTTCTGGTTTTCTGAGTGGTTTACTGGAGCTAAGAGTCTCACGGACTTTCCTGCCCAGGCTGGCTTTGAACTGTGATCCTCAGATCTCAGCCTCCTGAGTAGCTAGTATTACAGGCGTGAGCCACCTGTGCCTGGCTTGGGACAGCATTTTATAGCAGAAAATATTTCTTGAATTTTGCCCTGATTTTCAAATATTACAAATGCTGCTGTTATTCAAGTCTGATGATTCATCAACTTGGATAAGAACTTGGGGTTTCTACTGCTTTACTATCTTGTGATGTGTCTTCAATCTTACCAGTTTATCAAACTTTGAAAATGAAACCTTTCAGTTTCCATATTACATCATGTCCTTGAATTTATGATCTGTAATTGTACATGCTAGTACATGAGGTTTTCACCAGCGGTGAGTGAGGGTTACTGGTTAAAAAGATAAAGTTGGCTCAGTAGTAGAGTGCTTGCCTTGCATGCATGAGGCCCTGGGTTCAATTCCTCAGTACCACATAAGCAAAAAGAAAACAAGTGGTGCTGTGGCTCAAGTGGTAGAGCACTAGCCTTGAGCTGAAGAGCTCAGGGACAGTACCCAGGCCCAGAGTTCAGGTGCCATAACCAACCCCCCCCCAAAAAAAATCTAAATAATTTACTTCTATGCCTTTTTATTAAAGGTCATGTTAAAAAGTTAAAGCCAATTTCTTTATTCTGGGCTTCCAAGTCACCAAGTTTTCTGTTTCTTTATTGTGACTCATAATTAAGTGCCTTTCCAGTTTTCCCAAAGCCATTTCTTCATTTATAAGTCAGAATTCTTTTTTGGGGGTGGGGGTGGGGGTCCAGTCGTGGGCCTTAACTCTGGGCCTGGGCGCTGTCCCTCAGCTCTTCAGCTCAAGGCTAGCGCTCTACCACTTGAGCCACAGCGCCACTTGCGGCTTTTTTTTTCTGCTTATGTGGTGCTGAGGAATCGAACCCAGGGCCTCAGGTATGCAAGGCAAGTGCTCTACCACTGAGCCACCTTCCCAGCCCATAAGTCAGAATTCTTTATCACGATTCTCTTCCTTGTTCTAGTTCATCAGAAATCACCACCACATTTAGCTGGTTGTTGTGGATCACAGCCTGTAATCCTAGCTATTCCAGAGGCTGAGATCTGAAAATCTCCATTCTGTCAGCCTGGTCAGGAAGGTCTGAGATTCTTATCTCCAGTTAACCATAAAAAGCTGGAAGTGAAGCTGTGCTCTCAAGTGAAAACACTAACCTGGGCACAAAAGCTCAGGGACAGTACCCAGATCCAGAGTTCAAGCCTCAGGACAGAAAGGAAAGGAAAGGAAAGGAAGGAAAGGAAGAAAGAAAAAGAAAGGAAGGAAGGAGAAAGAAAAGAAGGAAGGGGGAGAGAGGAAGGAAGGAAGGAAGGAAGGAAGGAAGGAAGGAAGGAAGGAAGGAAGGAAGGAAGGAAGGAAGGAAGGAAGGAAGGAAGGAAGGAAAAAGAAAAAAATCACCACATTAGACTATAAAGTTGTGTTTATAAAATACAAATGTTAATAAAGAGTATTGTTGGCCTAAAAGGTAAATTGAGCCACACCAATTATGAGAATACCACAGTTTATTCCAGCCAAAATGAGGATGATTAGCAGGAGAGAATAATCGATGCTCCCTTACATGACAACTAGGGTTTTTTTTAATAGAAATTTTTAAAAAGAAGAAGAAAGTTACAGCTAATTTGTTACAACTGTATTGGTTGGCAAGAACAATATAGGACATTGATTGGTGATTGATCACTTACTCATCCAGGTACAAATTGTGATAGGAAGGAAAAGGCTTTTTAGTGAGTTAAGTTTTTTCTTTGTGGTATCAGGTAGTCTTCAGAAACCTGCAATGCTAGGTCAAAATGACCCAGGTAACTAAGGTCTTGTGCCTTATGTTTCTCTGGCCTAAAGAAGTTTATACTGGTGAGATTAAAAATTGTTTTAAAATATTTTCTGTACTAAGATCATATATAATCAAAGCACAAACAGTGCATGGCAAAAAATTAGATTTTTTTTTTTTTTTAGTTTTTCATGTTAGAATGTTTTCAAATTGATGTGCCTGTACTCATGTCTCTTTCGGGGTAATTTGTCTTGTATGGAAAAAAAGGCTGAGATGTGACTAAAGACTAGGGCAGTGATCTTTCCTGGAGTCCACAGTTCCTATTGGTTACCTCCGTCTGCTTGTTATTGGGAAAGCTCATTTGGTTTCAGTTCCAGTAAAACTCGGTTTTAGTCGATTTAAGAGTTCAAAAGTACAAAGCACTTTGGGAGGCTTTTTCTTTTTTAAATATTTTTTCAGAGGTTAAAAATTAAATTTCAAAAGCCCATCTGGGATGGACAAGAGTCTTCAACAGAGACACCTTACCTGAACACCTCCAACATGAAGCTCATTCATATTGTTTTGTTATTTTTGGGCTTCCACTTAAATCTTTGTGTGGTAAGTAGTTCAATCTTTATGCAGATTATATTAAGTAAACATTTTAAAAATTATAAAAATATGACAAATTTCTTAAGAGATGTGACTTAGATAAATATCACATTTCCATTAATAAGAATGCTACGTAGTAATAAGTATGTTAATAATTTCATTAAAAATTAAAAGTTTTTATATGCTTGTGTATATGCATAGACATTAAACTGAACAGGAATTTTATTAATACAAGCATTTCATTTATTGCCACATTAAGTCAACAAACATTTACCACACTCCTTCTATATAAATAAGGTCCTGTGCTAAGAAAATAATAAGTCTAATATCTTTATTCAGTAACCTTCTAGTACAGGTATTGAAAGATAAGATAAATATATCATTGGGGAAATAATAAAGGAATTTCACAATGTACTTACAATGGTATTATGCCCTAATAAACCCATCATAACTAGAATACTGTTAAGCCAAACATGCACCATAACCTATTTTATTGTTTGATTTGTCCTTCTAGTTTTTTGCTCATCACTACAAACACCAGCCTACTTTATTTTTACTTGTCCTTGTAATTTATTACTGTGTCCTCAGCATTACAAACATTGTAAGTGATCAATAATAATTAAGGAGTACTCTACAATAGTTTCAGAGGCAATATTCCTTTCTGACATTTTATTAGCATATGTAATTGTACAAGGGAAGTCATTGTGAGATTTTCATACATGTGTACAATGTACCTGATGTTCACCCACATACTCTCCCTTACTTTGCCTTGAAACAATTTCTTTTTTTATAAAACTTATTTTATTGTAAAGATGCTGTACAGAGGGGTTACAGTTACATGAGTAAGGTAATGAGTACATTTCTTGTCTAGCATTGTTACCCTCTCCTTTGTTTTTCTCCTGCTATACCTTCCCTTCCCCACCTCCCCACTCCTCTTCTACCACCACCCCACCCCGCCTCACGAAGTTGTAAAGTTCATTTCCAGCATAGTGTCTTGTGATTATCATTGTTGCAATGGGTCATCCTGTGTCCTTGTTTCAGCGTTTTGTTATTCCCCTTCCTCTCCCCAAATTAGATAAATGTATATATAAGATGCAGGGTACCAAAATCAATACAGTGACAACAGGGGATATACCACAGGAGGAAGAACATACAAAAGAAACAAAAAAATCACATAGTACATTAAAAACAAAAAAACCCTCATGTCCATATCTTGGGTTCATTTTGCTTAGCATCATCTTATATGATCATATGTACATAGCTTGATCATATGTGCATAGCTTTTGATCTTTTCTGCTCTTCTGATAAAATTATCCTAGATGTATACTAATTATTTGAAAATGAGAGAAAACATGAGACCTATATTTCTTTGGGTCTGGCTTACTTCACTTAATATTATTTTGTCCAAGTCTTTCCATTTCCTAACAAATGGGACAGTGTCATTCTTTCTGATGGAAACACAGAATTCCATCACATGTGCATCTATATATCTATATATCTCTATATATCACATTTTCTTGATCCATTCATTTACTGAAGGGCATCTGGGTTGGTTCCATATCTTAGCTATGGTGAATAATGCTGCAATAAACATAGTTATGCTGGTAGCTTTAGTATGGCCTTGTTTGTGATCATTTGGGTAAATCCCAGAAGTGGGATTGCTGGGTCATAGAGGAGCTCTATGTATAGTCTTTTGAGGAACTTCCATATTGCTTTCCAGAGTGGTTGAACATGTTTACACTCCCACCAACAATGCAGTAGCATTCCTTTTTGGCCACATCCCTTCCAGCATCTGTTGCTATTAGCTTTCTTGATTTTAGCCATTCTAACTGGTGTGAGGTAGAATCTCAGTGTTGTTTTGATTTGCATTTCTTTTATGGCCAGAGAAGTTGAGCATTTCTTCATGTGTCTATTGGCCATTCTTATTTCTTCTCCAGAGAAATCTCTCTCTAAAATTTAGCCCACTTATTAATGTGGCAGTTGTTTCTTTGAGTATTTATTTTTAGAGAATTTAATTTTTGAGTTCTAAGTATATTTGAAATATGAGGCCCTTGTCTGTTTATGACTAGTGAAGATCTTCTCCCAATTCATGGGCTTTCTATTGATCTTGCTAGCTATGTCCTTTGCCATGCAGAAGCTCTGCAGTTTCATGCAATCCCACTTGTCCAGCCTTTCTTCGATCTGTTGTGTTTCTGGGTCTTTATTAAGAAAATGTCAGCCTGTGCCAAGGAGCCCAGTAGTTTCTCTTATTCCTTCCTGTAATGTTTTCAGGGTGTTGCTTTTACTTCAAAGTCTTTGATCCACTTAGAGTTGATTCTGGTGTAGGGTGATATATAAGGATCTAATTTTAGTTTTCTACAGGTGTTTAACCAATTTTGCCAGGAGCATTTACTGAAGAGTCAATAGGTTTCTTTGAGATAGAAAAGAAAACTATCCTATTACTCAAATACCACTGTTAAATATTGGATACATACTGTTAACTATTTGATACATAACCTGCAAGAACATTTTAGTTGTGATACATAAAAATAAGTATGCAATTATGTATGTATATGTGTCTATATTTATTTTTCTTTTTTTGTGCTGGTCCTGGGGCTTGACTTCAGAGCCTGGGCATTGTCTCTGAACTTTTGTGCTCAAGAGTAGCACTCTACCACTTGAATCACAGCTCCACTTCCAGCTTTTTGGTGGTTAATTGGAGATAAGGTTCTCATAGACTTTCTGTAAGGAAACTGAGTCACGAGGGTATCAGAATAAAGAAAGGATAGAAAGCAAACTCAACAGACTTAAGAGGCTTTATTCAAGAGTGAAACCTGGGAAGGGCAACCAAGTGTCCTTCAGCCTGAAGGGTAAATGGCACACTCTCCTTACAACCAGGGTCTCTTTCAATAGACAGAACAGGTGAAGGGGGCAATGGAAGCAGGGTGAGATGGAGGCAGGGCAGGAGAGCAATCTTATTTTGACTGAGGAGTTTTAAGGTTTCAACAGCCGCTATGTTCATCAGGGGTGTCAGCATCAGATATGGCCTTGGTCTCAGGTCCTTTTCCAAGACCACTGGGGTAAGGGGAATGGAGAAGGTTCAGCAGAGTCTGCAGTGAGGACAGTTCTAAGATACAGCTGTCAAGGTGCTTTAGGTTAAGTCACTTTCCATCACCTTCTTGCCTAAGCTGGCTTTGAACTGTGATTCTCAGATTCTCAGACCTGTAATTCTCCTAAGTAGCTGTAGTATCATTACAGGCATGAACCATGGAGCCCATCCACCTGCCCCACCCCTCCCCCTAAGACAGGATCTCACTGTGTATCCCAAGCTGGCCTTGAACTCATTACATTCCTGTCTTAGCTCCTTGAGTGTTAAGTACAGGCACACACCTCAACACTTGGTGAAAATATAACTTTTACAGAAATCATTTTAATCTATTAGAACATTGTTCCTGTTTCTTATTTTTAAAAATCAACTGCAAGTTTAAAATTCAGGCATCCCACATTTATTATGTCAAAATACAAGCCCAAGAAAGTATACTAATGATCTTTTTGTAATCTCTGAAGCAAAAAATTATTAATAGAGTTGATTCCAAGACAATATTTCCTGGTGTTTTCAAGAAACTAGAGATCAACATCTGCGAGCCCACATCTGCTTGACCACATCACCATCTTCCCATAATTCCCAGCACCATTCTGATCCTGGGGTGGGGTTGGGGTGCTTGTTTGGAAAATAACACATAAGCAACCAAAACAATAAAAGATCATCAACTTTCTTATGAAAATTGGAATTACCTAATACATTAGATATTAATAGAGAAATTCTCTTCCTCCATTTTTTTTAAAGCTAAGCAGAATGCTTGTGGGTTTAGAAGTTGAGGCAAGGCTTTCTATAACAGACACAAGTCTGCTTCCATGTATGAAGCAAGGTAGATGGGAAGTGCTGACCATGCTGAAGAACTAAGGCTAAAAGGACCTAATACTCCAATGGGAAAGTTTCTACTTGGTTGTTCATGCTTAGGATCCAAGTAGCTCCTCCAGGAAGAAAGGGTTTGTGTGGTTATATATGTTTTTTAATTGTACTCTATTTGAAGCTTTCCGCCCATTTTTGTCCTTTACTGTTTTCCGTGAAAATTAGCGTTGTACTGATTGGTTAATATCATAGTAATAAAACTACCCTAAAATCTCATTGGTATTAAACCTTATTTAGTATATGTTTGTAGACTGGCTGTGGACCAGATAGCTGATGTACAGTGGACTGAGCTAGGATGGTCTTCTCTTCATATTTTTGCCCTCCTGGCCAAGTTTTCATTGCTGTGGTAGAGAAACCCAGTGGCACAAGTACTTTCCTGGGTTCTCGTGAGTCACACTGGATGACTTCCCATTAGAGCAAGAAATAAGGCCAGTGCCAGAATTAAAGTCAAAATATAACTTGACCCAGAAAGAGGCTGCAGAGGACTGGAATAATAGGGTAGAAAAATTGGTACTATATGCAATGTACCACAATTATACATATAACATATTTATATATAACATTTATATAGGGTCTCAAAGTCTATTTGTATTTTTTGCATTTGATCTTCACAGTAACTCTGTGAGATCATTGTTTATTTCCACATTTTATAAAAGGAAAAACAATCAGAAAGGTAAAGCCTCTTACCCAGAGTCACATACCTTGTTATCCACAGAAGGGGACTTTATAATAATTTCTTTTTTAAAGAAAAGTGGGGGCAGAGGGAAGTGAATGCTATGTGACAGGCTGAGGCAGGAGGATCAGGGACCAGATCTTAGGACCAGAGGATCAGAGGATCTTAGGACCACCCTGGTACTACATAGTAAGAGAAAAACTTTTTAAAGTTAGGCATGGGGTGGAAAAAGAGTGATGGAGTTTTTCTTTCTTTGGCCATCATTGATCATCTTTTTCCTTTTGTGTACAGGATAAAAGAAAAGGCAAGGAGACCAAAAAAAAAAAACAAAAACCTGAGGTGAAGCTAAAGACCTGATATGGTTGTTGTTAAGGCCTAGCCTGGGAGGTTGTTTCTTGCTTTTCTAGTGACTATTTTAGGATTCATGGTACTCCTGCACAGAGGGAAAAGAGAGGCATCATTATATTAAGGAGGAGGGTCAGAAAGAAAATGAACTCATCCATTCTGATGTAGCAGCAGCTAAGGATATAGGGTACACATTTGGAAGATACTAGGTTACTGCTGGACACTTTTGACTATGTGCTCGTTCTTAGGATATGTGAATATACTTATTTATAAATGATGAGTGCACTGCTATACAAACAAATACACCTTAAAACAAATTTTGTACATAATTTAATTTAATATTTTAATAATTTTACAACTAGTCATTCATGGGATATCATCCATCATCCTTTTTACTTTGGAAGTTGTGTTTTTTTCCCATTTCGGTGACATAGTAACTGAAAAAGATACCTCACAGAGAACAACATTTACAATGACTACACAGGGAGAGGGGTCATTATTGTTGGTATTGGAAGATAAAATAGTAGTTCACAGTCTGTGGTACTGACAGTTGGAGATAAAAGTTGGCTGGCATCATTCATTCACTCAACATGAAAATTTAGAAACTGCTGGGCATGGTGGTACACATGTGTAATCCCAGCTTTCAGGAGGCTCAGGCAGAAGGATCATGAATTCAAGGCCAGCTTGGGAAATAAGTGCTCACATAGACATAAGGAAACTTTCTCAAAACAACAAACCAACCAAAATAAACCCTCTAGGGCCTTCCTTCTCCCCCTACATGGAATCCTTTGTTGAATTCCATTGTTTTACTTTGTTCAAGTCCCTCCCAAACCATGATCGCATTCTACTCTTGCTGCCTCTTCCTCCCAGGTTCTCAGTCGGGCACCATTCTCGGCACCATTCACTCCAGAGTCAGGACAGCTCACTACTCCCTGAATATGTCTGTACTGTCTTTCTGCTAGCACAACCCTCTGACAATGCTACCCATCTTTCCTGGCCTTGTTCAAATACTACCTCTACGAGACCTAGAAAGCCATCCCCCTACTCTGTGTCTATATTAGGTAATGTTAGTTACATTATTTAACCACGGCCTACCTCACATCCTACTAATGTGAGTTTCTATCTTATTGCCTAGATATTAAGTCCTTAAGACACAGACCATGTCATACTAGCTTACCAAGAGGTCAATAAATTATTTTGCATTTAGCAATAGATGAATAAATGTATGCATCTAATTCAGTCCATGAGACTGACTTTAGCACCAAGTTTGACACTCCTTTTAATAGGACACCAGAGACTCATCAGTGTGTTAATGACTGGATTTTGTCAGCCCTAGGATACTAATAGCTCCCACTAACTGCATGCCTTGTGTGTGCCAACCATTACACACATATTACTTATACTCGTTAAAGTAAAACTGCAGAAATCAGGAGATATTTATCATCCTCATTTTACAGATTAGGAAATGTATGTTTCATGAGGGTAACTTGCCCTTATAACTGCAAGTATCCCAAAACTGGGGCTAGCAGCTAGGTTTGTCTGGTTCTTAAAACAGCAGACCATAGCATCCTTGTGTGGGCTGGGTCCATTTTGTTTTGTGGCAGAGTTCAACGTCAGACCCATCTCAAGAGGATCCGGTGGACAGCAAGTGCTTACTGAAAAAATACACACATCTTTCCTGCACTAAAGTCTTCTGCCAGCCATGGCAGAAATGCATTGATGGAACCTGTACTTGTAAGCTCCCTTATCAGTGCCCAAAGAATGGCACCTCCGTGTGTTCAACCAATGGAAAAAGCTACCCGACTTACTGTCATCAGAAGAGCTTTGAATGTCTTCGTCCAGGGGCAAAGTTCTTAAATCAAGGAACATGCACAGCTGAAGGTAGGAAAGTTATCCTGTGGCATAAGAGTGTCATTGTATATCATTTTTTCTATTAGAAAATCATTTTACTATAAAATGTTCTGAAGACATCCCAAAAATTTAGACTCAATAGCAATGGAGAAATATAGTCACTAGAATCCAGCCATCCTGTGAATTCAGAGTACAAGATTTGAGGTGCCACTCACTACTGCCTGGTGCCTTAGAATTGTCCCCACTTTGTCTGCTTAATTAAAGGGATCATTCCCAGAGACACTCAACTAGTTTAGACTTCAGTGAACAAGTAAGTCTTTATATGATTGAGATTGGTTCTTACATGTAGTAAAGTAGCCTAGCTAGGCCTCAACTCCCCTTGGATCTCTAGCCTTAGGGTTTCTTCTAGCATCTATCTTCTCAGGTCTTTCTACTCCAGGCCCAAACCATTGTCTCTGACTATCCAAGAAACTTGAGACAGCACTGATTAAGGATAACACATTCCTTCCTACCAAACTTGGCGTGTCAGGCCAGGAACTTGTCTACATTCCATGGCAGGTGATGTGGTGAGAGGCTGGGACCCTCACATGTAGGTTAGAAGATCGTTGAAGATTGGAGATTTCACTGACATTTAGGTTGAGCTTCAGGTTCCTCTAAGTCCTTCCTCAGTTACTGACAATCTGTGTGACATCTGTGCAATGTAAAAATCAACAAAATGAGGCACAAAAGCTCTCTGCACAGTGCTCAGGGCACAAAGAAAGTGCTCATTAAATTCCAGCTCTCATAGCAAAACTCAGGTTCATGTTCTTCTGATAGGAAGTTACTGCAGATATTTCTGAATTTACAGAGGAATGCTGACACATTCTTTGTAAAGTTACCATGACACACCCCAGCCTGTGATTACCTATTTAATTTCCTGTTGTTAAAATGTCAAGGTACTATGGGGAACAAAGAACAAAGCTCCCTGGCTGAGCCCGTCTCCCCTCCCTGTTGACTGGAAGAAGGAAATAGTTGAGTTTATTTTGTAAATGTCTGACATTAAATGCTTCAAATTTATGAGGAGACATAAATCCTCTCTATAGTGTTGTTAATTGTTTAGCTTACTTTAGGACTGTGGACTTTGGAGTAAGATAAATGAAGCAAATGTCAATTCCTGGCTTCACCTCTGGGGCTGGTAATAACTTCTAGACAAGCTCTGTGTGTCTGAAAAGGGACGTACAGGCTCCATCTTCAGAGAGATGATGTTAATATTTAGTGATATTTTTCCTACATGACTGAGCAGCACAGCCATTGACATAAGCACTCATAAAATGGTTGTTTTAAAAATTTTAAATTAGGGCTGGAAAGGTGCATGCATGAGGCCCAGGGTTCGATTCCTCAGCGCCACATAAGCAGAAAAAGCCAGAAGTAGCGCTGTGGCTCAAGCAGTAGAGCTCTAGCCTTGAGCTGAAGAGCTGAGGAACAGCGCCCAGGCCCAGAGTTCAGGCCCCACAACCAACAAAAAAAAAAGATTTTAAATTACAAGGGGAGAAAGTGAATGCCTGAGTATTGTTGGTGGTTTTTATTTTAGGAAAATTTAATGTTTCCTTAAGTTATGGGAACACAGATTCAGAGGGAGTCGTTGAAGTAAAACTTGTGGACCAGAAGGAGAAAATGTTCATATGTAAAAGGAGCTGGAGCATGACTGAAGCCAATGTGGCCTGCGTTGACCTTGGATTTCAACAGTAAGCACTTATATAGATGGAGATTTTTCTCAGGGTTGATTGTATTGTCCCAACTGTTTGCTTTCTGATTATTTAATCTTCCCATGCATCACTTTCCTCCTATGTAACCTGGGAGCATTAATTTCCACCTCAGAGCCTTGCTGGGAGGATTAAATATGTTCATGTTTGCGTAACACTTAGATCCTGCTGAGCAGGTGATTCTGCAGACCACCTGTAAGCTTCCTTAAATATCTGCACTGAATCCCTTAGTGACTCTCAAAGTCTTAAATGCACTCATTACTGTCCATTTCCACTTGTTCTTATTGAATGTTGTCTGTTTATAGCCCCCCTCTTTTATTTTTTGCCTGTCCTGGGGCTTGAACTCAGGGCCTGGGCACTGTCCCTGAGCTTCTTCTGCTCAAGGCTAGCATTCTACCACTTGAGCCACAGAACCACTTCCAGCCTTTCTGTTCATGTAGTACTGAGGAATTGAACCCAGGGCTTCATGAATGCTAGGCAAGCACTAAGCACTCTACCACTAAGCCACATTCCTAGCCTTTGTTGTTAACTCTTATGTTCAAGTCTTTTTCTATTTCTTTACTTTTAAACTTTCTGTATCTCCATGGTAAGTATTTTTCCCTCCTTCCTTCCTTCCTTCCTTCCTTCTTTCCTGCCTCTCTCCTCCCTCCATCCTTTCCTTCTTTTCTCCCCCTCTTGTTCCTTCTCTCCTTCCTTCTTTCCCTCCTTTCCTCCTACCTCAACCTCCCAAGTGCACGTGACAAACAACCTATAGTTTTAACCTAATAGTAAACTCTCTTAATCTTCAGTCTCTCGGTGTATTTTCTGTTGCCACATTTTGCATAAGGAAAAATTTCTCTGCTTCTAGCTAGTGAGAACTTCTCTTACATCCTTAAGAGCTCCTTGAGTTTATTTTATTATATTTTTTATAGTATTGTTAAGTTGTGAGGTCTTTCTTATTTATCTATCATATTGTCCCAAATGGCTCTTTTTCGTTATTATGGATCAACTTCATAACTACTGTATCTTCATTATGTATCTAGAACAGTAAGGAATACAGTACCCTTTTGTTCTTTTCATTTCAATTAGTCTGAAAATTAGACTGCCATTAGTGTTTTATTTCTGGTTCCATTTGTCATAGGTATCTTCACTTACTTTTAGTTTTTAACCTGGTTTTTCTTATTTGCTTTTAAAGAATAGCAGAAATTATTGAGTATGGTAGAAGCCCGGCTCACTGTAAATCATCATCTCTAGGATGTTGGGGAACTGAGGCGCTCTTTGCAAAATTCTTAGCAAATTTTAAAGTCTAGGTAACAGTATAGAGGTGCTAAAATATCAATACTATATCAAGGTTGAATTGAAGATGCAGCTTAGTGTAAAGACAAATTGGAATGATTAGAGGTAAGCCAACTTCATTTACTATTTCTTAAGCAATAACGTGCCAGGTAATTAAGCCTTATAGTATGATGCATGTAGAGAGACTCCCATAAGGCTAAGATGGAAATCTGAGCCGAGCATACCTGATTTATATTTTCTTAAACCTCTGATCAAATTAACCTACTCCCTCACGTGGAAAGAAAATCAACTTAAAAAGAGAAGACATGTCAGAATAGAAGGAAACCTTAGGAATAAGAAAGTGGCATTCTTCCTTAACAAGAAATAGGAATGGGAAAACTAACTGTTGATGGAGAACTTGACATTTTTTGAACCTTGGCTGGTTAGTTCACATGGAGTATTTTAGTTAATCTATACAAAATCTAGTGAGATAGTTCTATTCACTATTTATTTATTTATGTATTTATATATTTATGGAGCTGATACTGGGGCTTGAACTCTAAATGCTGTTTCTTAACTATTTCATTTAAGGATAGCACTATCACTTGAGTTACAGTTCCACTTATGGCTTTTTAGAGGTTAATTGGAGGTAAGAGTCTCATGGACTTCTGCAGCACAAGCTGACTTTGAAACATCATCTTCAGATCTCAGCCTCCTGAGTAGCTAGAATTATAGGCATGAGCCACTAGAGCCTGGTTTCTATTCACTTTTACAAATGAAGCTATTAAGGCTCAGCGAATGTATAATTCATCTGCTTACAAATAAAAGTTAATTACTTTAGGCCCTTATCTTTTACAACAGGACTGTAAACTCTAAAGTGCTAATTATTCTGCCATTATGTTTGATTTATTCTGTTTGCAGGGGTGCTCTTAGTACTCAAGGAAGGTTTTATCCACCTACAGATCTCCATATTAACACCACTGAATGTCTGCATGTGCAGTGTCGGGGATTAGAGACCAGTTTAGCTGAGTGTACTTTTACCAAGAAAAGAACTAAGATTTACCAGGGCTTAGCTGGTGTGGTGTGTTACACACAGGATACAGGTTGGTGACTTACTTGTCTGATGTTTTCCATTCCTTCAAGCTTGCTTCTTTCACACCAGGCTTGTAATAAACAAACAATGATCAAAACCCACTTGTCAGTTCAAGGAGACTTTGTTTTGGGCTTTAGTGTCTACACTGATGCTTTCCCCCATTATTCCTTTTAGCCATTCAAATATTACTCCTCTCTAGTTCTTTGATGAGAGAAATCTTGCCCAATTCCCTTCAGCTTCCTCTAAGATCTATATTAAAGTTACTATAGCAAACACGAGGATAAGGAGAACTTTCAGCATCTCCTTTGGGCATTCTAGCTTATATGTCTTTCTTTACAATGTTCAGACAATAGCTCCCTTTCCAAGCAGTCACTGCTACTTTGCTCCTCCATCCTTTTACTGGGATATTTTGGCCATATGTTTGGTGTTAAACACCAAAGCTATACCCTGTTCAATCAACCTGGAAATGGCATAGTACACGTGTGCTCCGGAAGTAGGGGTGGCACTAGTATTGTAGCACTAAGAAGAAAAGGTGAGCACCTGTGTTTGCTCAGATCAGCTAATGCTCCTGGCTCCAGTAATTACAAATTGCCACAACCAGTACTGGTTTTTCAGAGGTATTGAAAAAGGCCCCCATCAGCCAGTTTTGACATTTATTGTCACCATCAAACACATGTCATATGTTAATTCTACCAGATTTTTATATCGTTTTTATCTTTTTTTAATTTTTATTTTTGGATCCGGTCGTGGGGCTTGAACTCTGGGCCTGGGTGCTGTCCCTCAGCTCTTCAGCTCAAGGCTAGCGCTCTACCACTTGAGCCATAGCGCCACTTCCGGCTTTTTTCTTTTTTGCTTATGTGGTGCTGAGGAATCGAACCCAGGGCCTCAGGCATGCAAGGCAAGCGCTCTACCACTGAGCCACCTTCCCAGCCCTATTGTTTTTATCTTAATGACTCCATTGTTCCAAAACATGTGATGAGGCTATTATGTCACAATTCCATGAATAAATTTCACAAAGATCATTCCTGTTTTATAGCTTCTCCAACAGATCCGTCCTTCCAGTGTGTGAATGGGAAATCCATTGCCTGGGAGAAGGCATGCAATGGTGTCAATGATTGTGGAGATCAAAGTGATGAGCTGTGCTGTAAAGGTAGATAGATAGAAGGCTGTCCCCTGCCCCCTACATTCATTCTTCTGACTAAAAAAGTTCAAGCAGTTTTACTGCTGAATTTCAGTTTCCTGTTCATTCTGTTTGTGGTGATGATGATGATGATGGGAATTGAACCTAGGGCCTTTTTCACATCTAGGCAGGCACCCTGCCACTGAGCTACCCCAGCATCCTCCCCATCCAGTTTCAAGAAGCGGAAGAAACTTCTGTTTGTGTTTGCACAGGATGCCGAGACCAAAGCTTCCTTTGCAAGTCGGGTGTCTGCATCCCCAGCCAGTATAAATGCAATGGCGAGGTGGACTGCCTTACGGGAGAAGATGAAGTTGGTTGTGAAGGTAAAGTTTGTGGTGTCTTTTCCTGTTCACTTTTGAATCTAGAGATTCTGAAACTTTCTGTGGGGCAAATTAAAATCTCCTTCACCACTGTGATACCAGAGACTGAACCCAGGACCTGGCACTACTAGCTAAGCACTGGCTTCCACTTGAGCCTGGATCATAATCTTAAGTGAGAGTAGCAATAGGGATATTTCTGAGGAGGCATTTAAATTGTGGAATGTTCATCTTATATCTACTTGTTATCTCAAAACATTTTAATTTACTTATTTTTAATTTAAAAAAATTTTTTGTCAGTCATGGGGCTTGAACTCTGGGCCTGGGCACTGTCCCTCAGCTCTTCAGCTCAAGGCAAATGTTCTAACACTTGAGCCACAGTGCCATTTTCTGAGTCGTTTATTGGAGATAAGAGTCTCAGGAACTTTCCTCTCTGAGATGGCTTTGAACCACAATCCTCATATCTCAGACTCCTGAATAGTTAGAATTATAGGCATAAGCCACTGGTGCCTGGTTAGAACATTTTAATTTAAAAAGATGCTCACATATGCAAGAAACAAAAAAAACCTGATCTTCTGTGAACCCATCCTCCAGCTATAAGTTATTGATAGCTTGCTGGTCTTGTTCATTTCCCTTCCTGCTTATTTTCCTGTCTGTGGCTTTTTTGTTACAGTATTTTCAAAAATATCTCAGATTTACATGTACATATTAGTATAGGTATACATATATACTATATATGCCAAACACCATTCTCTCTTAAGTATGCCAACAAACAGTACTACAAACAATAACATCATTTAGTAACAGCCACGTCTAAATTTTCCCATCTCAAAAATGTCCCTATCAAGCTAATGAGTTCAAATCAGGATTCTAAAGAATACAGATGCTGTATTTAATAAATTTAAATTTTTTCTTTTAGACTTTAAGTCACCTCACCCATCTCCCTACTTCCAATGTTTTCATGCAATGAAAATGGGTCCTATGTCTCTTAATCTGGATTTATGGAATTGGTTAGATGTAGGATTCAATATTTTGGGCTTGAATTCCTGGAATATTTGGCAGAATACTTCCCATTACTCATAATGTCTAACTATCTAGTTGTCTTATTTCCAGTGATGCTAACTGACATTGATCCCTGGGCAACTTTGATGGCATGATTTAAAAAAAATTCCCCACATCTTTTAGCCAATGTGGCGATTGTGTCTCCATCTATTTTGTCAGTAGAGGCTGTAAAATATCTATTCCTAATTGCATGAGTCTCTTTGCATATACTGACTGAAATTGTATGGGGAAAACTTTTTTTCATCAGCTATGCTTTGTTTCCATGCAATGTAATTCATAGTAGAAAAGTAGAATAATACCAATTCTCTCCCTTTACTAACCAAGTCTCAGAGCAATGAGCTGGTGTTCTGGACAGCCCCCAATGGTGAAAAATAATCTCTGCCACACAGATGGACATTTTACTCCCAGCAATGTTTTCTGAAGGGCATTTTTCTTTAGAGTATCATATTCACTTTACTTCCCTCATGAGCCTTATTAAGTTCCTGAAATGTGTGCCAGGAGGTTTCAGTAGCAAATCACATTTAAAAAGCCTTGACCTTTTATGGATCTTACATTGCAATGAGGAAACAATGACAATAAATATGAGAAATAAGTAAAAGACTGGTTTAAAAAAGTACTAAGCAAATCTTATGCAAGGAGATTGTTAGAAGGAATTTTGGGGGGGGGGGAAGGGGTCAGTTGTAGGGCTTGAACTCTAGGCTTGGGTGCTGTTCCTACGCTCTTCAGCTCAAGGCGAGTGCTCTAATGCTTGAGCCACAGCACCACTTCCGGTTTTCTAGTGGTTTATTGGAGATAAGAAGTTCATGGACTTTCCTGCCTACGCTGGCTTTGAACCGTGATCCTCAGATCTCAGCCTTCTGAGTAGCTAGGATTACAGGTGTGAGCCACCGGCGCCCAGCTAAGTTTTGAAATTTTAAATAAGGTGTTATGAGAAGGATTCAGGGAGATGACTTCTAGATAAAAAGTCTACAGAAGAGTGCCCCAGACAGAGCAGTAGCAGTGCAGTGTTCCCCTCCCCACACGAGCATCCCTAATTTGAAGAAGAGCAGCAAGGAAGCTAGTGTAACAGGTGGCCCAGTAATGGGATTAGAGACAAAGCAAAAGAAGTGAGGGTGGAAGGCATCAAGGTGGATAAAATAGTGAAGTCGGGCACAGTGACATAGTCTGACTTCTACTTTAAATCTAGAGTTCTCTGACTGCTAGGTGGGGAATGGTTCTATTAGGATAGAGGAGAGGCAGAGACCCAGTTTGGAAGCTACAGCAATCATTCAGAGAAGGATGTGTGACTAGGATGAGTTGGTCAAAAGGAAAGTGATGAGAAACAGCAAGATTCTGCATTGTTTTTTAGGGTAGAGCCAGTGAGACTTGTCAACTGATTGGCTGGGTGTTGCAAGCAAATGAGCCATGAAGAGTGGTTCCAATAAGTTGAACTTCAAGTTGAAAGGATGGGGCTGCCTTCAATGAGCCTGGGGAAGGCAGGGGAGGATTAGTGTGCACAGCTACCCTATTCGTGGACTGTACCAGTGGTGTACTGGGAAATGCCCCACAGCCAGCTTTAGAGAGGAAGTGGAAGCCATGACTTGTAGCTTTTGCCAATGTTTGTGGCATAAATACTCCACCATGGAAGTTTCAAGCCATTGACATGCTGTGGTAGAAAGTTGGGAAGTAAGAGGCACCACAGGCTCTTGGGAACTGGTACCAGGCCACACCACACATCACCGGGTTACTTCAACTGCTTTTCATGGGCTTTGTGCTTGCCTTTCCTTCTCAACTGTTTACTTAAAATTATTTTCATATTTCAAATATCCTCAGGTAAGTGCCTCACACATAAGCATTAAATATGGGCTGACAATATTTGTGAGTCAATGAATTGATACCAATCATATTTGGCATTACTGAATAGGCCAGTGACATCTTCTTTAATTTTCCATTGATATTTGATATTGGTTCTTAAAGGACAGATTTTTAGGATATCATTTTTTTAGGATTTTAATTTTATCTCACTTTTTAAAGGAGATGAGGAAAAAAAGTGCTTTTATGTTCAATTTAGTTCAATCCTTAGTGGAGAGAGGAAAGAAAAAAGAGATTTCAGGTAGAAGAAGAGTTAGCCATAACTCCTGGCAATGAAAGTCTACACTAAATCTCACTTCTTTAATGTAATAATATTTTAGACTCTGTCCTTTTCTTTTTGCACCTGCTCCCTGCTTTTATTTAAAATAATGAATATTAAGGTCAAGAGATACAATGTGCTAGTTTTATCAGAGAAAAAAATGCACCAAAAGAAATAAACTACAAGCTGGGCACTGGTGGCTCATGCTTGTAATCCTAGTTACTCAGGAGGCTGAGATCTGAGGATCATGGTTCAAAGCCAACCTGGGCAGGGCTGTGAAACTCTTATCTCCAATAAACCATGAGAAAACTGGAAGTGGTGCAGTGGCTCAAGTGGTAGAGCACTAGCCTTGAGCTGAAGAGCTAAGGGACAGTGCTCAGGCCCAGAGTTCAAGCCCCATGACTGACAAAACAAACAAATAAATAAATCAACTACAATAGCAAACTTTATTTTCATTTAACTTCTGAATCTTTGTAAAAAAATACACTTAGACAGTTATCATTGTTATTTCAGTTTATTCTTCCTAGCACGAGCTCCACATTTTACATCTCATCAATATAGCTCTTTTCTACCCTCCTACCCAATACCAGGCTAACGTTGGGAAATGACGAGTAAAGGCAGAGATGTAAGACTAATACTCACTAGTCTCTTCTTTAAGGGGACATAAATCAATAAATCATAGATCAGAGGACATTTGGGATGTATCTTGAGTGTTTCTCTTTTATAAGCCCTTCTTTTATTAATACACGTTAAAAGTTATAAATTCTCTATAATTCTATAGTAAATTTGCCCCTGAGTGTGTGTTCAAATGGACCTAAATGTTAGTCTTTTAAATCTAAATTAAGATGATTTCTTCGGTTGTAAAATTGGTATATTCTTAAATGCAAGGCAAAAATTCTATTATACACTATTAAAATTTAAAGTAGGGGCTGAGAAGGTGGCTCAGTGGTAGAGTGCCTGCCTTGCATGCCTGAGGCCCTGGGTTCGATTCCTCAGCACCACATAAGCAAAAAGAAAAAAGCCAGAAGTAACACTGTGGCTCAAGTGGTAGAGTGCTAGCCTTGAGCTGAAGAGCTGAGGGACAGTGCACAGGCCTAGAGTTCAGGCCCCACGACCGGACCTAAAAAAAACCCAAAAAACAAAACAAAGTAAATGGCATTACTGTTTGGTTTTCTTTTGCATTTAATAACTATTCATTTTGAACTTTTATACTATGTTTCTAAAATATTAATGGTGTTGGGTATATTTACTCAAGTGAAATGATTTTATTGCCTTAGTGAGTATTTTGTTTGATTTTTGTTTTAGGAGCCAGACTTCCTGAAACTCAAGGTAAACACTGTGTGTGTGTGTGTGTGTGTGTGTGTGTGTGTGTGTGTGTGTGTGTGTGTGCGCACCAGTCTTGGGGTTTGAACTCTAGGTCTGGGTATTGTTCCTGAGCTTATTTTGTCCAAGGATAGTACTCTACTACTTGAGTCACAGCTAAACAACTCGTTGGTTGTTTATTGGAAGTAAAAGTCTTGCAGACTTTCCTTCTCAGGCTGACTTTGAACCATGATCCTCAGATCTCAACATCCTGAGTGGCTAGGATTACAGCCATGAGCCACTGGTGCCCAGCTAGTAAATCTGTTTTGATAACAGAAAATTTACATAGCTGTGGAAAGCAAGGTGTTTCGATCTTTATGTTATATATAGAGAGTAATGTGTTCAGGGTTTTATTTACACACATTAAAGGAATTCAGTATAAGGGAATGGGAACTGTGTATAGATTCTCCACATTGTGAAGCAGTTCTGCATGTATTGATAGAGTGACTAGAATATACACCAGTAAAATAAATGTACAGTTGTATCAATATGCTAACATGTTTCCCTTTGCTTTGGTAAATGTTTTGGTTTTGCTTTTCTTCAGGACTTTCACGCTCTACTCAAGGTAAAATTTTATTGCAATATTACAATATTCAAACCTTGAAACAATTGCCTTTTAATATTATAATGTCAATATTAACTAAGCATGATTTGATGTTGTCTTGCCAATAACTGAGCTTTCCCATTAGTTTAGACACAGAGGGCTTTGGTTGAGTGATGAAACTTTCAATCTCACACTCTTATCCACCGCCTGCTGACCAGAAAATCATCCAGAATGGGACCAGCCCTGCACATTTCACCTTTGCCAAATATTTTTCTGCCCTTCCTTTAATTTTTCTGTTTCAAAACGTTGGCAGCTCCTAAAGAATTGTTACCCGATGAAATATATCATATTTTCCAGATATCCTCAAAGCCTCCAGCTCTTCGGAGCTACCTTTCCTTAGTTACTCATGTAAAATGATCACGTTCAAGCCTACAGAATGCCCATCGTTCACGGCCCTCCTCAGGACGTTAGATTTCCTGGGGAACTAACCAACTCAGAGCCACTCCTTCCCCTCAGTGCCTCTTACTCACCATTTGCCCCTCTGAAGCTGCTGTTCCCTGTCCTCTCTACCCCATGCATTCTTTTTTTGTTGTTCCCTTCCTCAGTCTTGAGGTATGCATATCTCTAATCGGCCACTTGTACCTTCATGTTCTTAGACAAAGCTGTTATGCATCAGTCCTCTCTTCTACCAATACTACCTGGGGATTCTCCTCACCCCAACACCAGCTAGCACTATCCAACTTTCTGACAACTGTCAAGCAATAACATTGTTTATTTGCTTATCGTCTGGTAAATACCAGTGATTTTTGTTATAGACTCATGTGTAGAGTAGCATTTTGAGTTTCCTCTACTTTTCCTTTCCTCTCTCCTTCCTTTCAGTAGTCCACATCTTTTGCCTAGTTTTTTCCTACTGCATTGTTCTTCCTTACTGATCTCCAATGATTCTCTTTGCATTCTAGATATTGATCAATTATCAATTTTAGACACTGCAAATACTTTGTTCTATTCTCTCACCCCTCTATCTGTTAATTCTATTCACCTTGAAATTTGTTGAATGAAACCCCTTAATTTTTATATAACCAAAGACTGTTTTTCTTATGTACTTTTGAGGGTTTGTGCTGCTTTTCTAAAACCCAAGATAGTTGAGCTACCCCAGATTTCCCCCTACTTTCCTTTTTGAATGTTGCCTCTCATTCACAAGTGTACCTTGTATACTTCTGAACACTTTCTTGCCCTAGAAAACACTTAGATACATGTTATACCAGACAGATGTAGCTTTTTCCCACAGAGAACTTGGGAAATCCAGAAATATAAGTCAGGATTGCTTCATCTAAGTAACATTGCCTTTTTTGGGCTATGCTGTCTCTATCATATCCCAGACACCCATCAACATGTCCAGGCCAAAGAAATCATAATCCTATCTTCTGAAACATTGTAGAGCAGCAGAGTGAGGATGGAAACATCCTATCTAACTTCAAGCAAAAGGAAGAAAAGGAATATTTCCTTTGGGATTTGGAAGTAAAAATAAATTTGCTGGTGGCTGGGAAGGTGGCTTAGTGGTAGAGTGCTTGCCTAGCATGCATGAAGCCCTGGGTTAGATTCCTCAGAACCACATACACAGAAAAAGCCAGGAGTGGTGATGTGATTCAAGAGGTAGAATACTAGCCTTGAGCAAAAGAAGCTCAGGGACAGTGCCCAGGCCCTGAGTTCAAGCCCCAGGACTGGCAATAAATAAATAAATTGCTACCTCTATCTACTCCTAAAACCAACGATATATATTTGCAGGCATGACCCCTATAAGAGATGCATTATATTGTACAACATGATGGTTCTGTTCTCTTGTACATGCCAGTGACTGCTTTCTTTTCATGGAAAGAGTTTTGACTGCAGAGTTGAGAAAAAAAAGTCTCCTCTGACATATGCATTTTGTCTGCATTTAATAAGAAAGGTGTAGCATCCTGAGTCTTTCAAAAAATTATTTTAGGGGCTTGGAAGGTGGCTCAGTGTTAGAGCACTTGCCTTGCATGCATGAGGCCCCGGGTTCAATTCCCAGCACCACATAAGCAAAAAGAAAAAAAAAATGGAAGTGGCACTGTGGCTCAAGTGGTAGAGTGCTAGCCTTGAGCTGAAGAGTTGAGGGACAGCGCCCAGGCCCAGAGTTCAGGACCCACGACCGGACCCAAAAATTTTTATTTTATTTTATTGTAAAGATGCTTTACAGAGGGGTTACAGTTACATGAGTAAGATAATTAGTACGCTTCTTGTTGAACATGTTACCCCCTTCTTTTTTTTCCTACTATCCCTTCCCCCCACCTTTCTCCCTTTCCCTCTTGCCCCCCACCCCCACTGAAATTGTAAAGATCATTTTCAACAGTGTCTTGTGAGTATCATTGTTGCAATGGGTCATCCTGTGTCCTTGTTTCAGCATTCTGTTATTCCCCTTCCCCTCCCCAAATCAGATAAATCTATATACAAGACACAGGGTACCAAAATCAAATACAGTGACAAGGGATATACCATACGGGGAAGAACATACAAAGAAACAAACAAAAAAATTGCATAGTACATTAAAGACAACAACAACAAAGGAAAACCTCTTGTGTCCATATCTTGGGTTCATTTCGCTTAGCATCTTCTTAGATGGTCACATGTATAACTTTCAAGATTTTCTGCTCTTTGGATAAGACTGCTAGACCTATATTAATCATTGCAAATAAGGGAAACCATGGATCTATATTTCTCTACGTCTGGCTTACTTCATTTAATAGGATTTTTCCAAGTCTTTCCATTTCCTAACAAATGAGATGGTCTCTTTCTGATGGAAGCATAGAATTCCACTATATATAGATATAGATATAGATAGATAGATAGAGGCTGGGAAGGTGGCTTAGTGGTAGAGTGCTTGCCTCACATGCATGAGGCCTTGGGTTGGATTCCTCAGCACCACATAACAGAAAAGGCCAGAAGTGGCACTGTGGCTCAAGTGGTAGAGCGCTAGCCTTGAGCTGAAGAGCTGAGGGACAGTGCCCAGGCCGAGGGCTCAGCCCCATGACCAACAAAAAAGAAAAAGAAAAAAAAGGAAGATAGATACATCTATCTATCTCTATACATATACATATATTTATATATAATTTTCTTGATCCATTCATCTACTGAAGGGCATCCGGGTTGGTTCCATATCTTAGCTATGGTGAATAATGCTGCAATAAACATAGTCATGCTGGTAGCTTTAGTATGGCTTTGTGATCATTTGGGTAAATGCCCAGAAGTGGGATTGCTGGGTCATAGGGGAGCTCTATGTGTAATCTTTTGAGGAACCTCCATACTGCTTTCCAAAGTGGCTGACCAAGTTTACACTCCCACCAACAGTGCAGTAGCGTTCCATTTTGGCCACATCCCCTCCATAATCTGTTGTTATTAGATTTCTTGATTATAGCCATTCTAAGTGGGGTGAGGTGGAATCTCAATGTTGTTTTGATTTGCATTTCTTTTATGGCTAGAGAAGTTGAGCATTTCTTCATGTGTCTATTGGCCATTCTTATTTCTTCTTCAGAGAAGTCTCTAAGTCTTTTTTTTTGTCGGTCATGGGGCTTGAACTCTGGGCTTAGGCGCTGTCCCTGCGCTCTTCAGTTCAAGGTGAGCGCTCTACCGCTTGAGCCACAGCGCCACTTCCAAGTCCACTTATCGATAGGGTGGTTGTTTTCTTTGATAATTTGTTTATGGGGGGGTTATTTTTTTGACTTCTAAGTATATTTTACACCAAAAGACACCTCCAGTGTGTGCCAGCAAGAATTTCTACCTTTATTACCCAGAGAAAGAAAATCAGATGACATGCTTTGAGAATTCTGTATAGTCATTTTAAACAGGAAGACAAATTTGAAGACAAAATTATTGTCAGGGTTTAAATGATTTCGTCTTCTCTATAAACATAACCATAAACACTGTATCTTTGTTTGCTTATTTTATCATAGAAGAAAAAGAAATAGAAGAACTTTTGACTCCTGATATGGATGTGGGTAAGTTAACATCATACTTTGTTACTTTTTACTGGTGGTTCATTGGTCTCACTTAAGTTCACATTTTAATGTTGTGTGTATGGACATTAAATATGGCTATGTTGTATTTGTAATTTATGCAAATACTACTTAACTTATATACATTTATAAAATATGTTAATTGCATAAAGGAGTTTCTTTGTAATATTTCCATACCTACATCTAAATGTACTTTTATCAAATTCATCCCTACATATTTTTGGTGTTCCCCATCTCCTGCAAACATTTTAATGACTCCAATATTCCATTTTCATACATGCATATAAAGTACTTCAATCATGTTCAACATCACTTCTACCTTCTCCTTTTCACACTTCCTTTCCCACTGATTCTGACTCCAATATAGTCCCCAATATATATTTAAATTGAAAAAATGTATCATTCTTCTTCTTTCCCTGTCACTTTTTTTTTGGTTGGTCATGGGGCCTGAACTCTGGGCCTGTGCGCTGTCTCTCAGCTCTTCAGCTCTAGGCTATGCTCTACCACTTGAGCCACAGTGCCACTTCCAGCTTTTTCTACTTATGTGGTGCTGAGGAATCGAACCCAATGCCTCATGCATACCAAGCAAGCACTCTACCACTGAGCCACCTTCCCAGCCCCTCCCTATCACTTTTAAGAAAAACAAGCATGAATGGTTTTTTGTTGTTGAAGTTGTGTGGCTTGAACTCAGGGCTTAGACACCGAGCTGCTTTTGCTCAAGGCTAGTGCTCTCCACTTTGAGCCACAGTTCCATTTCTGGTTTTCTGGTGGTTCATTGGAGGTAAGAGTCTCATGGACTTTCCTGCTGAGGAACCATAATCCTCAGATCTCAGCCTCCTGAGTAGCTACGATTACAGGCATGAGCCACCAGTGCCCAGCTCAGCAAAAGTGATTTTGAAAGAACTACTTTTGGAAGTAGGGTTAATTCATACAATTAATCTTGAAGTAAATATTTCTCCAGACCCACATAGAGGCTTTCTATTGGATCTGAACTTTGTCAGGTTAGTTTTGTCCAAAATAGCCAGCTTTCAAGCATGATTTACAATGTACCTTCTGAAACTGAAAAATAATCGATGTCAATTGAATTAATCTGTTCTTTTGCAGTGTTGAAAGTCATGATAAGAGGAAGCATTGAAGATCCATATTCTGGCTAGTTTTGCACGAAAAGCCAAATTATGTTAAAATATTAAGTTAAAATCTTAAGTTATTTTATTTTTTTTGTTAGTCGTGGGGCTTGAACTCTGGGCCTGGGCGCTGTCCCTCAGCTCTTCAGCTCAAGGCGAGCACTCTACCACTTGAGCTACAGCACCACTTCCAGTTTTCTGGTGGTTTACTGGAGATAGGAGTCTCAGTCTCTCCTGCCCAGGCTGGCTTTGAACCGCAATCCTCAGATCTCAGCCTCCTGTGTAGCTAGGATTACAGGCGTGAGCCACCAGCGCCCGGCTCTTAAGTTATTTGTTATTCACTTTAGGTTATATACAATTGGGAATAAAATAGCTATCTGTTTTAGAACTTTTTTTGTGCTACACCTGGGCACTGTCCCTGAGCTTCTTTTATTCAAGGCTAGCACTTTACGACTTGAGTCTCAGTTCAACTTCCAGGTTTTTTGAAGTTAATTGGAGATAAGACTCTCACAGATTTTCTTGCCTGGGCTGGCTTTGAACTCTGATCCTCATATCTCAAACTCCTTAGTAGCTAGGATTACAAGCATCAGCCATCATCACCTGGCTATGTTTTAGGACATTTTAAATGAAATGTACAATACTCACTTCTGATTGCCAGATCCCAAATTCGTTAAATTAAAAGAAAATCATTCGAAGGGTGACAGATTGAGACCTCAAAGCTACAAATACTAATCAAGAGCATTATTTTTTTTCTATTTTTTTCTTCAAGATTGTGTTACTTTTCAGACATTACCCAAACAGGCTTTAGCTGCTAAGGTCTTTCTCTGTCAAAAGTCCAAGCAAATGTTTAGTACTTGCCACCATTCTCTTCTTCCAACCCAGGTTTCAGGATGAATGGCACCAAAAACAAAGCAAAACTTCTATGCAGATTCCTTCTCACTTGAGTATGCACAAAATCATTCACGGTAGTACTAACTTTCCTTGCTCATTTGGGACTGAAAACAAGTTTACAAAAACTTTTCACGAAGTGATTCATATACATACAAAATTAAGATAATATGTTGTACTTTCTTCTGTCATCGATCCTCTTTCAAGCTCATGTATTAAGCTGTGATAGTCTCAGTGACAAATGTGCCCTGTGTCCATGCTCACGCAAGAAGGAAATATCGTCCAGTGCCTTATGTGTCCTGATCTTTTAATTGTCCAGGGTTCCCAGCATATTGCTTCTCAGGGCTAATATGTTGTTTAAATGATGCATACCATATACAAAATACTCAGTAGGGAGTTAGATGCAGAGTACTCAACATTTTCATAATGTTAACATTAGTAGTATTAAATAGCTGTGGAGAGGAAAGACCGTGATAGGGAAAGGATGCAATTTTCCATATTATCTGTTTATTCTGACAATTTCAAAATGTGACCCGCCCTGCCCCACCTATCCAGAGTTCTCATTGCAATGATGCCTGGACAGTGGCATTTCTCATCTGCCAGCAGCCTGTAAATGTTTAACTCCTTGGCCAGCTCCTTTCTGCCTCCAAGGCAACCTTTGGAGAAAACTTCAGAGAATCAAGTCAAATTTAATAGTAAGCCAGAAATATTCAGCAAGTATATAGTAACATTTGAAATCCAAAACAATTTACTCATGACTAGGGCTTCAAGCCTGCTGATTCTGTGGCAAAGATAATCAAGAAGTGGCTGGACAGATGCTAACAGGTTCAGGATAATAACAATACAATCTTTCCTTTCTTGAAGAAAGAAAATGGACAAAATCCTTATTGCCTACAGTGTCCTGTGGGATCCCAAGAAACATGCACATCCGGAGGAAGCGAGTAGTTGGAGGAAAGCCAGCACAAGTGGTAGGCCTGCACACCAGTCACATTTTCTTCCTGGGAACAGCCAAGTTGGGAGAATACAGGGAATGGTGCCATTATAGGAGACTGGACAGTGTCTGTTAGAATGGCAGTGAACAGCTGTGACCATACAAATATCTTTTACAGGGAGAATTCCCATGGCAGGTGGCAATTAAGGAGGAAGAAAACATCAACTGTGGGGGAATTTATATTGGTGGCTGTTGGATTTTGACTGCTGCACATTGTGTCAGGTAAAAATAAATTGTCTTCAGTATGTTTTTCATTGTTTCCTGAAACAATGAAAATGAGTAATGGAGACTGTGGTGGATGATAAATAAAAACATCTGTGAGAAGTCACTAATTTTCACTTCATTGACTGCTAAATATTTGCTGGTATTCATAAGCAGGAGTCTAGACGCCAATTCTTCAGACCTTTCTGTGTTCTCCACAGACCAGATTGTTGATTCCATTGCAAAGAGCTGACCAAGTGTATAGGGACCAAGTTCCTTCCTTGGCTTATTTGCTGGTATGAAAACCAAAGTGCTTGGACCAGTTTATGACTGTTTATAAAGCTGTGATACTAACTTAGCATTTCCTCTGGTTTTGCTCAAAGAGGTTTAAAGAGCTAGCCTTACTCTGAAAACGCCTTGTCCCCAAATATAGTCACATGGGGACCCAATCTTTGTGACAGACAAAACAGTCTATAATCATGGCTAAATGGCACCATTCAAAATGTATTTGATTAATAAATTAAGATTAACGTGGAGAAGGGCAAAGTTCAAGATTCCAGTCTCAATTCTGACTTAGAGTAAAGGAAATGACATGTATTGAGTATTTCATACAGACTCAGTACTGAACCAGGCCATATCTTGTTGAGTATTCTTAAAAGTCATTCTTCCCATTTTGTAGATAAGTGGATAGAGACTACCTAAATATTCTAGCCCTTGAGCCACGCCTCAAATTGGCTTTTAGTCCATTTTTTCAGATAGGGTCTCATCTTTTGCTACTACCTGCCCTGGCTTCAAACCATGGACCATGATTCTCCTACCTCTGCCTCCTGATATTTGGGATGCAGACACAATCACTACGAACCATCATACCCAGCTGGCTATGGGGTTTTTGGGGGGAGAGAAGCAGGGGGTTCCAGTACCATGGCTTGACTTTAAGGCCTTGCACTTATTCGGCTTGCTTGGTAGGCTGGTGCTCTTCCACTTGAGCCCCCAGTCTATCTTCTTGCTGGTTACTTGGAGATGGAGTCTTACAGATTTTTCTGCTCAGGCTGTTTTCAAACTGTGATCCTCCAGATCTCAACTGCCTGAGTAGCTAAATTAGGCATCATCTATGAGCACCCAGCTTCCCAGCTTGTTTTTGAGACAGAGTCAGCCTAGGCTGACCTCAAACACAATCCTCCTATCTCTACCTCCTGAGCTACTTTAATTTCTAAACATTTAATTCTCAAAACTTCTCTTCTCCTCCATTGTTATTACCCTGCTCTCTCACCTGTCATTGGGATTAAATGAATGGCCTCATATTACTTAACCTACATTCACTCTGTCTACCCACTGCCCCCACCTATCTGTTCTTTCCTGTGCAGTAAGAGTACCATTGCTATACTTGGTTTTACCACTTAACACTCAGTGGTTTGCAGTCTAAACCTAAACGAAAACTCTAACACAGCCTATTAGGCCCTGTATGAAGCCTCAAGTCAAAGCTCACTTGTTGACTGAAACAATTATGTAGTGTCTGTGCTTCACCTGTTTTACAGTAGAACATCTATCTTTTTCAGTGTCATTATCTATTTAGTGTTGTATCATTTGCTGAATTCCATGAAAGCAGGGGTGATTTTTGTATTTTGCCACCGATTAGCACCAGTGCCTTCCTGGTACATGTAATAGATACACCCAAAGTATAGTTGAGTAAATTGAAAGAATGAGCACATTTAACCATCAGACAACATTCAAGATCTTGGATACTGAAATGTAGCCAAAATTAATATGGAAGACAGCTTTCTTAGGACACTTCAGTGTAAATAAAAGCATCCAAACATCTCATGAACTCCTAAGACTTCTCTGTTTAAATGTAATGTGAACATCAGAATCATTAATATAGAAGGATGAATTCTGTTTAGTGTTTGTTATTTGAGACGCTGGAAGGTATATAGATAACACATGTGGGTGCCAGTGGCTCACACCTGTAATCCTAGCTACCCAGAAGGCTGAGATCCAAAGGATCATAGTTTGAATGCAGCCTGGGAAAAAAAGTCCATGAGATTCCACCTTCAAAAATAATTAGCAAAAAGCTAGAATTGGAGATATGGCTCAAGTGGTAGTGCAACAGTTCAAAGCAAGTGCAAGGCACTGAATTCAAACCCTGGTAGTAACAAAAAAATCCATTAGGTTGTTAGACTTGGAAGATGAAGAGGGGAGGGCCTGTTCTCCCTAACATATGTTTTACTGCTTATAGAAAATCCATTTTTTGAGCTGCTTCATTGTGGAGCTGCACTAGACTACAAGATGGTAGGAAGAGTGAGTTAGATTGGCCATCTCTTCATTTCCCAGTGATCTAGTTCTCTCCTGAGTAAATTTAATCTAATTTCTTCATGACAGCAGGATTTTTTTTAATCTAGGAAAATGAAAATTAAAAAGAGAATATAAAGATGAAGTATTACAACTCAAAACTCGTATGTTTTTCTCAATATATAGTATTTCCCTTTTCATTTCTCTTATAGACCCAGTAAAGCACACCATTATGGAATATGGACCGGATTAGTAAGCCGGGTAAAATATAATACAGCATCAGCGATTCAGAAGGTGCAAAAAATTATTGTCCATGAAAACTATAATGGATCCACCTACCAAAATGACATAGCTTTGATTGAAATGAAAAAAAAGGCCAACCACAAAGAATGTCATTTCTCTAATTCTATCCCTGCCTGTGTTCCCTGGTCTCCATATCTATTCCAACCTAACGACACATGCATCGTTTCTGGCTGGGGGCGAGAAAAAGGTATTTGTTTTGTTATTTGTTACCCAACATCAAGGGGTGGGAAGTGAAAGGGACTAGGAGGAATAGAAAAGCATGGGAGTAAACCTCTTAGAATGAGAGAGACACAGGCTGGGAAGTTGGCTCAGTGGTAGAGCGCTTGCCTTGCATGCCTGAGGCCCTGGGTTCGATTCCTCAGCACCACATAAGCAAAAAGAAAAAAGCCAGAAGTGGCGCTGTGGCTCAAGTGGTAGAGCACTAGCCTTGAGCTGAAGAGCTGAGGGACAGCGCCCAGGCCCAGAGTTCAGGAACCACGACCGGACCCCGCCCCCCCCCCAAAAAAAAGAATTAGAGAGACACTATCATAAAGTAGAAGAGTGAGCACACAGGCGGACTGGGCTTGTGATCTGTGCATTTGCTCAGCAACGATGTCATGAGCAGGAGAATCCCGAGACTGGCTTACTGGCTCTGCTGTCCTGTCACTACCATGAAGTTCTTCATGAGTTTTCAAGGGTTCCCATCCCACATGTCCATTTTGCACTGGGTCTTATACATCACATAGCCAGTTCTTATGCAGACATTCAAAGGACACTTAAACCCTGATTGTGAAGTTGATATTGAGAGGTCAACATGAACCAAGAAGAAAGAATAGACAGGATGTCCAGAAAGTATGGATTTTGTGGATTGGTTGGAGTGATATAGACAGACGGTCAAAGGTTTGCAGAATAGGAACAGAATAGTGGTCCCTAAGACTGGGAAGGGAAGTGAGGAGCACAGGGTGGAAAGCAGCTAAGGGAGGGGCTCCAAATGTCTAAAGTGGAGGAATCACATCTGTCGTTTAGCACTGCGGCAGCTAAAGCAATCTACTTTTCAATGTGACTATTTTCAAATGAGCAATTTTGTGGAGAGCACAAAATTCCCAGCACGTAAATAACATTCATGTTTAAAGAGAAAGGGATGCTTGTGCTAATTTATTACCCGCTGTATACATATATTGAATTATGAATAATGTACCCCATAAAGTTAGCTTCTTGGAACTGTGGGTATTGAGGAAGATAACATCCAGTGATAAAATACACCATAAAAAGAGTGCTGTGAACTGGGGGAAAAAATAGAGGGAGATGGGACAAAGATTGATCCCACACCCATGAGGCATCTTATCCTGTGTTCTTGTGTTTTCCTCATTTGTCTTGGTCTGAAAGTCAATAGTACCTGGCCCCTTTCCTTCCATGGACCAAATATTTCAAGAACCTAAATGGTCACTTAAATATAAAGCAAATTCTAAATCCTCTTTCAAGTGCTTCAGATTGCCAAAGAAATGGATTTCCTTCAGACACACAAAATCACACACTGATAACTTCCTTCTGCATTTTTTCACTGTAAAAAAAAGTTTTCAATTTAACAAGCTTGCATGAGGTATTCAGGAGCTGTAAGATTTACTTTGTGAGACGAGATCATTACCAATATCTAGCCAATTCCCCTGCTGAACTCAGTGACCTGAGGGGAAGGACTGTACCCCAGCGATCTCAGCATGCCAGGCCTTAATTAAGCAGTAATGACTTCACCTGTAGGCTTTCCCTTGACTTCACCTGAATTTAGAAAGACAATTATAGCACTAAGCATTTGAAGAGCATGTGACTAAATGTGCTAAGACATTGTTCTCAAAAGTTGATATGTGGGGCTGTGATGTGCCTTGGTGGTAGAGTGCTTGCCTAGCATTCATGAAGCCCTGGGTTCGATTCCTCATTACCACATACACAGAAAAAGCCAGAAGTAGCACTGTGGCTCAAGTGGTAGAGTGCCAACCTTGAGCAGAAGAAGCTCAGGGGCAGTGTCCAGGCTCTGAGTTTAGGCCCTAGGACTTGCAAAAAAAAAAAAACAAAACCAGTTAATATATGTCTTAAAGAATATATGTGGGGGGTGGGGGAGGGGAGGCTAGGAAGGGATGGGAAGGGGAAACAAAGGAGGAGGCTACAATGCTTGATAAGAAATGTACTCATTATCTTGCCCATGTAATTGTAACCCCTCTGTACAGTATTTTCACAATAAAAAAAAATATATGTCAGATATACATGCATATATATATATACACAGACATATATGTATTTTCATGTATACAAATATATATTCTATATTTGTATGTGTGCCAATATTCAGGTTTGAACTTGGGACCAGGATGCTCTTTCTGAGCATTTTTGCTCAAGGCTGGCACTCTACCAATTGAACCACAACTTCCCTTTCATTTTTTTGCTGGTTAATTGGAGATAAGAGTCTCACAGACTTTCCTGCCTGGGCTGGCTTCAATCCTCAAATCTCAAATCTCCTGGGTAGCTAGGATCACAGGCATGAGCCACTATGCTTGACTTTATATATGTTCTTTATAGTTATTCTTTATATTATAGATAGATAATTTGCTATCCCAATGATTTACTAAGTTATGAGACCATTTACTCGGATTTTTCATTTGTGATTTCTAAATGTCTGTTTCCTCATTTTATTTAGACAACCAAAAAGTCTTTTCACTTAAATGGGGTGAAGTTAAACTAATAGGCAACTGCTCTAAGTTTTACTCAAATCGCTACTATGAAGAAGAAATGCAATGTGCAGGTAAGTGCCAAGTGGTTTATCTGAGACATATATTGTATTAATAAGTTGTCATGACTTTAATAAAATAACTTAAGCTGAACATTTGTAAAGAAAAGAGAGTGTAGAAACATGGTTCAAGTGGTGAAGGATCAACTGACCAAGCAAAGCAAGTGTATGTGAGGCCCTGAATTCAAGCCCCAGTACTGGCAAAAAAGAAACGCAGCTCATTTAGTTACAGAGGCTTAAGAGCATGGTGTTGGTATCAGCTGTCATGAGCCTTTCAAGGCAATGTACCACAAAAGTTCCAGATCAGAAGTGAGGTCAACTGAAAGACAGGAAGCAGACAGGAGATATGCATTGTAAGGACTGAGGTTTGAGGTTCTAGGCAAAAAATTACCAAAACCTCATCTCACTAAACAAGCCCCAGATGTGGTGGTTTACATCTGTGTTCACAGCTATATAAGAGGTGTAGTAGGAAGATGGAGGTCTGAGGCCTTGGCAAAAGCTCAAGAATCTATGTGGAAAATAATGAAAGCATCAAGGGCTGGGATGTGGATTCCAGTGGGAGAGCACTTACGTAGCAATCTGAAGGCACTGTAGTGCCAAAACTTTTATTTTAAGGAAACAAAAAAGCAATATGGTCTGGGCTTACTCTATTGTTGAGAACTAATTTGGAAGTCTCACAAGAACTATCTTAATCCCTCTGAGATTACACCTCCCTGATCTAAAGACTTTTTATTATCACCACACTGAAAACCATCATGTGTGTGTGTATGCTGAACAAACAGCTTTTTTGCTAGAGAAATTAGAGAAAAGAGTCTCACTGATTTATCTGCCCTGGCTGGCTTTGAACCTTGATCCTCAGATCTCAGCCTCCTGAGTTGCTAGGATTACAGGCATGAGCCACACATGCTCACCAAATGAACTCAAACTACATCCAACCATGCTTTAAAGTTACTGGAGGTAGAGCACCCACCTAGTAAAAATGTGGCTGGGAATGTGGCTCAGTGGTAGACTGCTTGCCTAGCACACATGAAGCCCTGGGTTTGGTTCCTCAGCACCACATAAACAGAAAAAGCCTGAAGTGGCGCTGTGGCTCCAGTGGTAGAGCGCTAGCCTTGAACACAAGAGAGGCTCGGGGATAGTGCCCAGACCTTGAGTTCAAGCCCCACAAATGACAAAAAGAAAAAAGAAGTTCAAAGGTCCTGAGAAGAAATTGGCCTCCCATATTGAAATAGAGCTCAGGATTTTACTGGGCAAAGAATTGCATTTGTGAAGAAGACAAACTCTGAGGTCTGGTTGCCTGCAGTCTTGCCAGCCACTTGTGAGCTGGGTTAACTTGGACAAGTTAGCAAACCTCTCTGTTTATTGTCTCATTTGTAAAATGAAGAAAAGCATGAGTCTTACTCATCAGGCTGTGGTGATGATGAAAACATTGCCTAACACTCCGTAAATCCCAGGTATTCTATTGCTTTCCCACTTGGTGTGTGATGCTGTGATGTAATCTCACATTGGTATACAATTGCATAGAGAACACAGGCAGAAAGCAACTAATAATTTAGGAGAACAACTAGAACACTTTCCAATCTGCCAGCCCAGGAGAGGCCCACAGAGAGGGAGAGCCCCTGTCACATCCTGACAGGTGAGTGCAAGAAAGCCAGAGTTGCTATTCTGGGTGGAGGAGGCAGGAAGGAAGGTGGTACGGCTGCTTAGAACAACAGCGGGGAAACAGGCAATTTCTCTCTCTCAGGTACAGAGGATGGATCCATCGATGCCTGCAAAGGAGACTCTGGAGGCCCCTTAGTCTGCATGGACGCCAACAACGTGACTTATGTTTGGGGCATTGTGAGCTGGGGTGAAAACTGTGGGAAGCCAGAGTTCCCAGGAGTTTACACCAAGGTGGCCAATTATTTCGACTGGATTAGCTATCATGTAGGAAGATCTCTGATTTCTCAGTACAATGTCTGAAGCGGTGACCTCCGTCTTCCTACCCTCCTTCGCGCAGTTCCATTTGGATGGGAATAAAGCTGCATAATTAATACAGAAAATGAGGCAGAGCTTACAGCCTATTGACATTTTGCTGTGTAATTCCCGAATAAAATACTTTGGCTAAACATGTAAGATTTTGTTGTTGTTATCACTGTTTGGTTGAGGTTTTGTTCGGTGCTGGAGACTGAACCCAGGGACTCCTACATGCTCAATACCCTCAGCCTAGGGGTTCTGTCAAAAAGCTAGATTGCCTAACCCTTCTTCACACATCGTGGCCGGGGTGACAGAATATATATGCACAAATACACACATCCCTAGTTGTTTCTTTTTTTTAAAGTACTAAAACAGGTATTTATGGCTCTCGTACAGTTCCTGGGGTTTGAACTGAAGGGTCTGGGCGCCTGTTCCTGACCTTCTCTTTGCTCAAGACTAGCTATCTACCATTGGAGCCACAGCTCTACTTCCAGCTTTTTGGGGAGTTAATTGGAGATTTTAAATACGAGTCTCACTGAGGGTCCAACCCGGGCTGGCTTTGAACCATGATCTCCATATCTCAGTCTCCAGAGTAGTTAGGATTACAGGTGTGAGCCACCAGCTCCCGGGCGGGGCTCGCTTACGTCCAAGGCGTGGCTCCAGCGGTGTGGTCACGTGGGCGACGCGGCCGCGGCGCCCTGGCGTTCCGCCCCGCCCCTCTCCGCTCGCCTCGCCCCTCTCCGCTCGCCCCGCCCCGGGCCTCCCCAGCTGCGCACGCGCCGTCCGCGGCTCCGGTGAGCACGCTGGTGGCGTCGCACACCTCCCCTCCAGTCAGTGAAGGCAGCGTGGGGCCGCCAGCTCGCCCGCCCAGAAGGCGCGGGCATGGAGCCCGCTGCGGTTGCGCCCGGGGCCCAGGCCGCTGCGTAGGGCTCGGCGAGGGCGAGCGGTGAGCGGCGGGCCCGGCCGCGCGGATGGCCCGGTCCTCGCGGCCCGCACTCGTGGTCCTCCTGCTGGTCCTGACGGCGGCCGTCGGGGGTCAGGAGCCGGAGCCCGAGCAGAGCCCGGACTGGCGGGCCACGCTGAAGACCATCCGCAACGGCATCCACCGGATCGACACCTACCTGAACGCCGCCCTCGACCTGCTGGGGGGCGAGGACGGGCTCTGCCAGTACAAGTGCAGCGACGGTGAGGACGCGGGGGCCGCGCACGCGCGGGGTCGCGCAGGGACGGCAGGGGCGGGGCCGACCTTGACGCCGCCCTCTGCGTGGGGCCGGCCCCGAACGGACCCGGGCGCTCCGAGGGGGGCGGGTCCTCCGGGCTCCGCTGCTTGTCAGCTGCTTTATTTCATTCTTAATTATCATCGTCATCATTATCATCATCATCATCAGTATTATTATTATCATCGTCATTATTATCATTATTATTATCATTATTGTTGTTGTTATTATTATTGCAATTGCACAAAGTTGCCCAAGGCCGGACTGATGTAAGAACCCTGAGAATAGACTGATTTTTAACTCTGTTTTTGCGCTGGCAAACGAGTCAGCTAAACATGCCATGCTGATGGAGGATTTATGTAGTTGTTACAAAGGGGATGCACAAAGGGGTTCCAGGTACACGAACTAGGTGAAGAGTTCACGTCTTGTGGGACTGTGTTACCCCTTCCCGCACTCTCTTGCCCTTCTGTCCCCACCCCCAAGTTGTGTCGTTTGTTTTCCACAGAGTGTCTCGTGAGTGCCCCTGCTGCATCTGTTCACTCTTCGTCCTGCTAATGGAGAAATTTTAAGTCAGGCGTCCTCTTACTAGCTTCCCGGAGGATGGGCATTAAAAGCTTTTTTTTCTGCAAAGCTGTGGAAAAAATCAGTTGCGACCTTTGTACAGATTCTTCATGTACTCCACTGTTGAGAGAAGTGTAAGGGATTAATGAGCGTTCTGATAACTTGTAGAAAATCGTCCATCGAGGCTTGATAGTTTTCTTACCTTGGATATCACTGATCCCTGTTACTCATTTTTGGTCAATATTAATATATATGTGTATATATATAATTATTCACTTAAGGCTTTCACATTTTAAAGCTTTGAGTCAACATTCTTGTTTGGGGAAATTATGGTGGTGATAAAGTCAGTATTTCAAGGCAGAGAGTTTGGGAATGTATAAGCAGTTGAGGTTCTTTGAATGCTTAAATGTTTTAAGAGTTCAGAAAAGAACTTGGGCTACTGTTTGGAAACATGTTAAGTTGGTACTTGGGAAATCATGTTTCCAGTAAGATTAGCCAAGATCTGAGCCAGTTAGTGCCAGGAACTCCTTCCATGTCAAACTGTGATGCCACCTGTTGCCTGTAATTCCCTAAGTTATCGAGTCATTTCTAGTTTTCTGTTACTGAAGACATGGGTTGTATCTAGGATGCCTGCTAATTCTAAAGCAGGTGCTTAGCTAAAGTTAATTAGTTCTAAATGTTTCCACCATTGTGTATCAGGAAAGATGGCTTTGTTCTTGTGGAGCTTGTAAGAAGTAAATGAATAATTTAGGAATTAGATAGTAGTCTTTCCTGAGGTAAAAGAGTTTTACTTAGTCATTATGCAAATATTAGTGTTCCATCCACGGGTCCGCTATTGCTCTACTAATTGGGAGATCCATCAGTGAAAAAAACTGACAAAATCCCTGACGTGGAGCTGATGTTCTTGTTGGGGAGAACCCATGAGCAAAGCAGTAAACAATTAAAATGCACCGAGTATGGACTGTATTCAGAGCTCTTAGTATGCGGGTGAGTGAGAATCACTTGGAAAACAAAGACTGGTGGGCATAATGTTCAGGAGAGTATTTGAGAAGAACTTGAAAATGGGAAGGGTGACATTATCTGGGGAAATGTGTTCCAGACAGAGGAAGGGGCAATGTCTAGGACCTCAGAAAGAGCCTACAAGGTTGACTGAAGGTTGTGTCATGAGCCACAGGGAAGCTGCAGCTGCTATTTACAGAGATAGGGAGGACTTGGACAGAGGAGTCTTTATAAACTTAGCTATGAGTAAAGTGTCTTTGAAGTTGAGTGCATACTATTCTTATTCAATAACTGTTCTACATTTTCCTTTTACTTCATCTGGTTTCATCTTCCACCAACCCCAGATCTAATACAATTTGCCATTGTGCGGGAGGCGGGGGAATCTATTTGGAGTTTAGAACAAGGTCTACAGTATAAAAAACACAAATGAACAGGAAGATTATTTGAAAGTGAAAGAGTCATGAAAGGAAAGGAGTGAGAGTCTACATTTGGAGAGGGGTCTCAAAGAGGAGCCCGATAAAGTCCACATCAGAGCTGTGCACTGATTGCTTGATGGCTTGTGTATGCTCCCCCCTGGCTCTTTTCATTGGTTGAGCTGGCACCTAGGGCCTAGGTACCATGTTTTCAGTGAATGTAGTTCAGAGCCATCTTGTTGATAATTCCAACAAAGCAAAACATATACTTTTAATTACCATCACTTGAGAAGTCTTCCTGGAACAATGATGCAAAATCTTCACCATGCTAGTGACCAAAGCAGAACCAAACAGAAGCAGAGGAGTACAGGAATTCCCGGAAGATGCTCTGTGTTCATTCAGCAAGTCTTGCTTTACCCAAGGGATTGACGTTATAGAGACCTACTTCCTTGCTTTTGGCCCTCATCTGTTGGGTAAGAAAAAGGCTTTAGTAAAATGATTTAAGGAATGAAGTATGATGTTTTCCATTTATTCTTGACCTTTTTCTCCATGACATCAAAGAATATTTGAACAAGAAAACCTTTCAATTTCTCTTGAAAAATAGAAAACAAAATAGGCTTACAGTTTTAGAATTCGAAGTACGTTGTTAATTCACTCAGTGACGTATACTTGAAAGTATACTATAACAAGGTATTATACTGAATGAAGCTGGGGATCAAGAGAGTTAGGGAGGGGAATGGAGGCAGGGTGCACAAGTCCAGGTAAAAGATCTTGGTGGTTTTATTAAGTCAGGAGCAACGGAGGGCCTGAGAAGTGTTTGAATTTAGATAGATTTTTGAAGGAAGAGCCACTAAACTTGCATATGGAAATAGATTGTGAGTAGGGCCAAAAAAAAAAAAAAAATGGTACCAGTGTTTTTAGCCTAATCAAGTAGAAGGACAGACTTGGGGTATTTAGGAAAGATGAGGACGTGTTTGAGAACTTTGGAGAATGGCTGAGTAGAGGCCCTGTTGAAGGAGAAGAGACGATGACTGCAGTCATATCCTCAAATAAATGAGTCATGGCTTAAACCAGTTACCTCAAATTCTTCCCCTCTTCTAATTGTTTTTCCCCATGGCATAATTTCTTAGGTGCTCATTATGTGCTAGGCATCTTCTAGGTGGGCTAAAGTTCCATCCTCATAGGAACTGTTACACTCATGTGGTCAGGACACACTGGAAAGAAAAGGAAAGCTAATAAAGTGAAGGAGGAAGAGAGGAGTGCTATTTCACATGGGGTGAGCTGGGAGGACCTCTCTAAGGCATTACACTTGAGGAAACCCAAAACCAGTACTCACAACTATTTTGCGACTTATCCTAAGGAGCCAAATTACCAACACTTATATTGCATCGTATGCTATCCAGTGTTTCACCTACAGCAGGTACAGGATCTTTATCACTCAGTTCTGCCAACTTCCTTCAAGGCAAGTATGAGCCCCAGCCCTGTTAGAGACAGCTCCTTCCTCCATCCTCACACCTCCATGTTCATTTTGCCTAGCCCTTATCTGTACTGTCTCTTTTCCTCTTTGTTCTTCAGTCTAGGCATGTCTGCGGACTTGTTCTTCCTCACTTACTTTGTTTCTGATCATTTTCCCATTTAATAATAATCTTACAAATGAGAAAATGGCTCCAGTATTAATATACTTAGATACATATGCACAGGTTATCACCACCTACTATTCTACTATTCACCTGTCAGGAAGCTTTGTTACAGATGTGACATCAAGGCCTCTTTCTTTCAATGCAAAGGAAAGGCGTAAGTATTGCAGTTGTATTAACATTGAGGGAAATAGCTTCCTGGTAACAAAGTAAGTAGACACCCCTCTGCCTTTAAACTCTAGGACCTTATTAGTTAGTTGTCTGATGTCATCTGCAGTGGTCATCTGATGGTGCCAGAAGCCTGTAGGTCGGCAGGTGAACAGGAAGGGGAGTACATATGGGACCACATAAGACAGGTAGTGTCATTTCCACTAATAGACACCATATATCTTTCTCCAATTTCCAGACAATGCTTTAGATGATACATTTCTAAACGTAAAGCATTAAGTCTAGTTGTTAACCTGAGAGATAGAGTAAATACCCTAATTTTTCTTGTTTGCAGAAAGCACTTTTTTTTTGGGGGGGGGGTCTGGTCGTGGGGCCAGAACTCTGGGCCTGGGCGCTGTCCCTCAGCTCTTCAGCTCAAAGCTAGTGCTAGCACTCTACCACTTGAGCCACAGCACCACTTCTGGCTTTTTTCTTTTTGCTTATGTGGTGCTGAGGAATCGAACCCAGGGCCTCATGCATGCAAGGCAAGCGCTCTACCACTGAGCCACCTTCCCAGCCCCAGAAAGCACTTTTTTAATATATATTTTTTATTGTAAAGATACTGTACAGAGAGGTTACAGTTGCATGAATAAGGTAATGAGTACATTTCCTATTGAGCATTGTTACCCCCTCCTTTGTTTTCCCCCTACCATCCCTTCCCTCCTCACCTCCACAATTCCTCCCCCTCACAAAGTTTGTAAAGTTCATTTTCAACATAGTGTCTTGTTCATCTCATGGTTACAATGGGTCAACCTGTATCTTTATTTCAGTTTTTTGTTATTTCCCTTTCTCTCCTCAAATAGAAAAATGTATATAGAAGATGCAGGACACCGGAATCAAATACAGTGAAAACAGGGGTTATACCATGGGGGAGGAACATACAAGAGAAACAAAAGAATCATATAGTACATTATAAGTACATTAAAAACAACAGCATGAAAGATAAAACCTCTTATGTCCCTATCTTGGGGTTCATTTCACTTAGCGTCATCTTATATGGTACATAGCTTTTGACTTTTAATGCTTGTCCTAGACATTTACTAGTTATTGCAGATAAGGGAAACTATGAGTTATTTTATGATTAGTGTAGAGTAGTTCTACAAAGCACTTTTTGAACACACTAGTACATTGTACTTTTTTGAGAACAGTTTGACTTATTGTTTAATACATATAAACTATATAGTTAAAAACCCAGACAAAAGACAACTTTCTAGAAGGAAACTAGAATGGATTCCCCAAGAGTATAAATCTGATTTAGCCTCTCCTTGTGATGGATTTCAGTATGATTTGTCCTCTCCAAATGTCATGTTGCAATGTAAGCCCCATCAGTAGATGCAGTATTATGAGTGGGACTTTAAAAGATGCTTAGCCATCTTTCCTCATGAGCGGATCCACTTCTGCAAGAGGGAATCTTCTATAAGACATTGGCTCAAATGGCTCAGGTGCCTACCAGCAAGCATGAAGCCCCAGTACCACCATCATACCCCCCCAAAAAAAAGTTTGGTTCAGTCAGACACAGTCTGTCTCTTACTATGTGATGTGGTCTGCACCACCTCAGGATGCTGCCAGCAAGAAGGCCAGCACCAGATGTGGCCCCTTGATCCTGCATCAGGGCTGTGAACTATCTGACCTTTGTGGCACACCTCTGTGATCTAAACTGCTTAGGAGGCAGAGATTGGGAGGATTGTGGCTTGAAGCCAGTCAGACAAAAAGTTAGCAAAGCCCCATTTCAATCAATAAGCTAATTGCGGGACATGCCTTTCATCTCAGTGATGCAGGAGATACAGATAGGAAAGGATTGTGGGGCTGGGAAGGTGGCTCAGTGGTAGAGTGCTTGCCTTGCATGCATGAGGCCCTTGGTTCAGTTCCTCAGCACCACAGAAGCAGAAAAAGCTGGAAGTGGCACTGTGGCTCAAGTGGTAGAGCACTGGCCTTGAGCTGGAGAGCTGAGGGACAGCGCCCAGGCTGAGTTCAGGCCCCAACTGACCAAAAAAAAAAAAAAAAAAAGGGTTGTGGTCCAATTTACCCAAGAAAAAAATGCAGCCAGCCCCTCCTATTAAATAACTAAAGCAAAAATGGACTAGGGGCATGGCTCTGGTGCAGGGCTGCCTTCTTCTAGGAAGGGTTCTAATGTGGCAGGACAAGAAGTGTAGTTTCTCATGATGTTTTCAAGGGACATGCAAACCTGACAAACCTTGATTCAGTAAGATCACATAACTGCCTAAGTGGTCTAGCCAAGGGGTTAGCCATGGCTGCTCAGAGAGGGCATCCAAGTCCCCTTCTGTGGGCCTTTGAATGTAAGAAGCCACATAATAAATAAGTGCTCCGTCCCCCCACTTTCCATTAGCTGTTTGTGAAAAGTCACCTGGAGAGGGGGCGGAATAAGCAGCCCTGTATATCATCTAGTGGAATTAACATGATCAAATCATCACTGAATGGCTCCAGTCTTCCTTAGCTTAAGGGTTTGTGTGCAGTGGAGTATTTGCTACAGGTTGGGAAGATACAGTTCATGCCTGAGAGATTTAACCTAAAGTCTTTAGAAGTTGGAAATTACAGCACAGCAGCCTGGATTTATTGCTCCTACATATGGACCCAACTGGCATGTACCTTTGAAATCGACAATGGTCCAGAACAAGCTTCTGTATGTTTTAGACATACAAAATAATTATTAACATACTGTTCATGTACATATAAGTGCCCTTTTGTAAAGGAGTCATATTCTTTTTTTTTTTTTTTAATTTTATTTTATTTGAGAACATACTGTACAGAGGGGTTACAATTACATGGGCAGGATAATGCATACATTTCTTACCAAGCATTGCAGCCTCCTCCTTTGTTTACCCTTCACCTCCCTTCCCAGCCTCCCCCCTCCCTCCCACCCAATCATACCCCCCCACCCCCCCCCCCCACCGACATTGTAAAGCTGGTTTTGACATGACATTTTGTACTTCTCATTGTTGCAACAGGTCCACCTGAATCCTTAAACGACTTGTTTGTCCCCATCTCCTCCACATGTTATACTGACATCAAATATAGTGAAAGCGGGGGTTACACTGTGGGGGAGGGACATACAAAGCAACAAAGAAATAATCTTATAAATGCGTTAGAAACACATGCATGAAAAAAACAAAAACATTAAAATACATATTTGAGGGTTCGTTTTCCTAACATCACATTATCTGACTTTTTCCGCTTGAGGAGTCATATTCTTCATAGGAGAAATAAAAACGAGACAGACTTAGCATTCTTAATGTTCATTAAAGACATAAAACTTTTTTTTTTTTTGTCAGTCGTGGGGCTTGAACTCTGGGCTTGGGTGCTGTCCCTGCACTCTTCAGCTCAAGGCAAGCACTCTACTGCTTGATCCACAGCACCACTTCTGGTTTTCTGAGTGGTTTATTGGAGATAAGAGTCTCACAGATTTTCCTGCTGGGCTGGCTTTGAACTGTGATCCTCAAATCTCAGCCTCCTGAGTAGCTAGGCGTGAGCCACCGCCTTCTGGCTAAAGACATAATATTTTTATGTCAGAATCCAACTAACTATTTCCAGGGCTAGCCTGGTACATTGTAGACCTTTTTAAGCATGTATTTTATTTCTGTTCTTTGAGAATTATATATTTATGTTTTATAGAACCCATTTGTGTTTTATAGGATCGAAGCCTTTTCCACGCTACGGATATAAACCATCCCCACCAAATGGATGTGGTTCTCCATTGTTTGGCGTTCATGTAAATATTGCTTTTTTGTTTAATAAGCTTTATGACTGATAAGCTATGTAATACTTTTAATAATGTAAGACTTAATGTATTACCAAGTTCACAAGTAATTTTCCTTGTGGTAAGAGTGATCGGATTCATTATTTTTTGGCAAAATATTTAAATTCTAACAAAACTATAGAATTTGTTTTTTTTTTTATCTTGTTGGTTGGTGTCAGTACAATTTAAATTACATTTCCTAATGTTGTTAATCCAACTTAGAAGTTTAAGGTGCAAAAATAATATTTAGAAAGGGGACAGGGTAGATAATGCAAATTTCTATATTGAAACAAGGCTTCATGGGGTCTGAGTGTGGTTATTGTTGGGGATGGAACCTAAACCAGTAATTGTAGGGGGAAAACATTGATGAAAATGATTTCCATACAAGGGCTTGTGAGTTATTTAAAATAACTATAAGTTATAGATAATACAAAAATAGCACCTTTGGGGTATGGATAAGTACTTAAAATTTCAAAAACCTGATATGACTTGTAATTTATATCTCTTGTACACATCATAGAAAGTACATTTTATTAGAGGAAAGAGTACAGAATATCACAAAAAAAATCAAGAAATACTAAAAAAAAAATGTATCTGCGTAACTACCTGAGGAAGTGTTAATTTCTTGGCCTTATGCCTTAGCTGTGCGCTGGTGGCTCATACCTGTAATCCTAGCTACTCAGGAGGCTGAGATCTGAGGATCATGGTTCAAAGCCAGCCCGGCAGGAAAGTCCATGAGACTCTTCTCTCCAATTCACCACCAGAAAACCAGAAGTGGCTCAAGTGGTAGAGCTGAAGAACTCAGGGACAGTGCCCAGGCCCAGAGTTCAATACCTACAACTGATTAAAAAAAAAAAAGAAAGAAAGAAAAAGAAAAACTGTGCCTTGAGGTATGGGCAGTTGGAAGTATGTTTGTTCCTGGCAGATGTGTGACCAAACTAACACTACAAAACAGGGAGCATGAGACAGGTGAGGTAGGGCAGGGTGGGTGTGGCTACTGTCATGGGTATATAACGGGGATGGGTAACACAAAGCATTTGTGGGCAGGAATGGGCTTTGGAATGGCCTGGGCATCAGCCATTGCCATTCATTTCTATTAAGTCTATCTGGATACAGTAGTTAAGCAGAAGGGCTTTGCACATTGCTGGCAGTAATCCATCCATTTGCTCCCGGCAGCTCAACATTGGCATCCCCTCCCTGACAAAGTGCTGCAACCAGCATGACCGGTGCTACGAGACCTGTGGCAAAAGCAAGAATGACTGTGATGAGGAGTTCCAGTATTGCCTCGCCAAGATCTGCCGAGACGTGCAAAAAACACTAGGGCTGGCTCAACATGTTCAGGGTACAGACTGGCTGGCTGGGGACGGGTGGTGTGTGTTGTGGTTTAGTGTAGGATAGAACTTGTAGTAGTGTAGTATAGCCATAGAACTTGTGCACATCTGTTAGCTGTACCCATACAGCCTCTTCAATCTCCTGATATGAGGAGCTTGGTTTTATAATCCGAGTTTCTATGTGGTCAGAGAAAACTTGGAGGAGAGTTGTCTGAGACATCTACCTGTGCCCTGGAATATGTCCGCAACTGTTCAGAGGCTGACGCTCAAAACCTGGACTCCAGTTGACTTAGTCCATTTAGGCTACTGTGACAAACTACAGGAGGTACAAGATCAAGCCATCACTTCATACCCGTCATTCCCAGAGATACAGGGAAGCACAAATGAGAGAGCCACAGTCCACACCGGAGTGGACATAAAGTGAGGCCCTATCTAGAAAAGCACCAGTATGAAGAAGGGGCAGCCGAGTGGTTCAAGTGGTAGACTGCCTGCCTAGTGAGCATGAGTCCCTGAGTTGAATCCCAGAACCCCAAGAATAAAAGAAATGGTAAGAAGTTGAAAAATACTACCAGAAATCAAACTTGAGTGGGGTTGGGAATGAAGCTTAGTGTGGAGTACTTGCCTGGCATATATGAAGCCCTGGGTTCAATTCCTCAGCACCACATAAACAGAAAAAGCCAGAAGTGGTGCTGTGGCTCAAGTGGTCAAGTGCTAGCCTTGAGCAAAAGAAGCTCAGGGACAGTGCCCAGGCCTGAGTTCAAGCTCCAGAATGGGCACAAAAAAAAAAAGGAAATCAAACTTGATTTCTGTGATGGCTCATTGCCAAGTCAAAAGTAGATACTGTTCAAGGGAAAAAAAACCAGATTCCATTTACTTTAAGCATCTTACATGGTGATCACTTTTTAGAAGCCATTGACAACAATAACATTGAGGATCTGTGCTTGTGTATGTGTTTGTGCTGGTACTGGGGCTTGAACTCAGGGACCCCTGGGTGCTGTCCCTAAATTTTTCTGTTAAAGTCTAAAACTACCACTTGAGCCACACCTCCACGTCCAACTTTTTGATGGTTAATTGGGAATTAGAGTTTCACTGGACTTTGCTTCCCTGGCTAGGCTCAAATCTTGATCAGATCTGTCTCCTCAGTAACTGGCGTAACAGGTGTGAGCCCAGCTTCTGAGGTTTTGTTTTTTACACTTGATTTATTCTGCACAGAAAATACCTTTCCAGAGTTGAGGATGTAACTCATTGTAGGCCATGTGCTTCCTTGGCAGCTTGTGAGACTACGGTGGAGCTCCTGTTCGACAGTGTTATCCATTTAGGCTGTAAACCATACCTGGACAGCCAGCGAGCTGCATGCAGATGCCGCTATGAAGAGAAAACTGATCTGTGAGGAAGATCTGACGGTTGGGACACACGAGCATGGGAGAGTAGAACCTTTGCCAAAGAACTGACGTTTTCACTGTCAGTACAAGCTGCCTTGCCTTTGTGGAGTTGCCACTTATAGACCTTACAAAACTGCACGCAAAACCTCAACGCAAAAAGTATGGTGACGAGGAGGCTCCGCCCTCCCAGGTGTCCTCTCCACATTGCCACCTCCCCATTTCTTTGCCAAGCTCAGAAACAGGTATAGAAGCGTATAGAACTCAGTTTTCATAACCATATTAGTAAAAGCAAATGAGATCGAAATATACAATGTTTCATAAGGTTTATTCAATGTTGCCTTATTTGAAAATACAGGAAAAATCTTCACTGAGGAGGTATTACTTGTTTACTGTGAAATTTTGAATGTACATTAGGCCTCAAAGGAGCTGACACTTCTTTTCCCTCTATTTTAGTTACATATAGTTATATGTTGTCTTTGGTAGCACAGACATAAAGACATGCTAGTTACCAGGTCAAGGGTTCTATGCCTGTTTCTCCCTGAAGATACGACAAACCATTGCAGATACCCTCAGGGACGGAGCCAGATCATGGAACTCTGTGGTGCAGCAGACGGTGGTGTGAGCAGGATTCAGAAGTGCAGCACCTCGGGTCTGTGTGCCACTCTCCACAGGGGTCACATTCTGCTGGAACCTTTGCCTAACTCAGAGAAAAAACAGACTTAATGAGAGAAGGGAAGACTTGCTGGCCGTCCCACATCAGAGCACACTTGCTGTGTGCTTTGGTGTTTATTCCCTAGCACCTGTTTTGTACTGTAGATTCTGGGGTATTCTTTTTTTTTTTTCTTTGTTGGTCATGGAGACTGAACTCTGGGCATGGGCGCTGTCCCTCAGCTCTTCACCTCAAGGCGAGTGCTCTACCACTTGAGCCACACAGTGCCATTTTTGGCTTTTCCTGCTTATGTGGTGCTGAGAAATCGAATGCAGAGCCTCATGCATGCAAGGCAAGCACTCTACCACTGAGCCACCTTCATAGTTCTCTGGGGTATTTCTTAAAAGACTTCCACCAGGCGCTGATGGCTCATGCCTGTAATCCTAGCTACTCAGGAGGCTGAGATCTGAGGAACACAGTTCAAAACCAGCCTGGGCAGGGAAGTCTATGAGACTCTTATCTCCACTTAACCACCAGAAAACCAGAAATGGCACTGTGGCTTAAGTGGTAGAGTGCTCACCTTGAGCTGAAGAGCTGAGGGACAGTGCCCAGGCCCAGAGTTCAAGCCCATGACTGACCAAAAAAAAAGACTTCCCTTTTACTAATTGGGGTCTTAATAAAAATTATTCTTCATCTGGGCACTGTTAGCTCACACCTGTCATCCTAGATACTCAGAAGGTTGAAATTTGAGAATCATAGTTTGAAGCCAGCAAGGAATATGTGAGATTCTTATCTCTAATTAACCAGCAAAAAGCTGGAAGTGGAACTATGGTTCAAGTGGTAGCCTTATTATAAAAGCTTAGGGACAGTGCCCAAGGCCCCGAGTTAAAGCCTCAGGACTAGCGCGCGCGCGCACACACACACACACACGTGCGCACACACACACACACACACACACACACACACAAATCGGTCTTCATATTTTTTTCCAAGTCTGACTGTAGAGAGAGGGTTTTGTTTGGCTGACAGTTTAGTAGTTTCAGTCTATGGTCTATCATATGGTTCTATCCATTGTTTCTGAGTCTGTGGTAAGGCAGGACTCACTTAGAAGCAGACTGCAGGCAGAGACAGATAGAGAGGGCCCTAGACAAAATACATCCTGGATAATATCTTTCCTGCAACTAAGTCACACCTTCAGTAGTTTTCACCACTACCAGTCTATTCAGTTATAAATTTATTAATGATTAACTCCTAGATGAGATTAGTTTAGTCACCTCTCAGTAGCGCCACCTGCTGGGGACAAGACTTCAAGATTGGTTTGTGGAAGATGTTACATATCCAAACTAGAACATACATTTTTCTTAAGTGTCAGAATCATAGAAATTTTATGTCTTTACAATTTCTAATAAGAAAAAACATTATAAAATGGAGTCAATACTGAACACTGACCAAAGTTAACTTTTCTAATCATTTATGAACTTATTTTTATTAAGTATATCTCATTCCCAAGATAGGCAACAAGATTTTCAGTACTAGTGACTATTCAGATACAAGAAGAACTGAGCCATCCTATCTGTTTAGGGTGTTAATGTATCTGAGTTATTTCAATAAAACATTTTTTTCTTGCAGGGGAGTGCAGAGGAGAGAGGAACAAACACTTGGTAGAGCTAAATTCTAGATGATTTTCATACATACAAGTAACAGAGTGCTTGTTCAAACATTGCTGGGCCCACCCCAGAGTTCCCAATGTCAGCCTTGGGTAGACCCAAGAATGTGGGTTCTCGGGAGGTGTTAGTGCTGGTGGCTCAGAGACCATTTTGAGATGTGGTCTTATGCAGTCTTCATTAACTAAAAGTAGTGAATGTGTTGAAAATCAGGTACTTGCTAGGAATTTGGGATTCATTGTTTCAAAAACTCTCTGGAGGACATTTAGTCCACATTTTATAGAACAGAATGTGAAGCTGTTTAGGTTAAATTCCATTACCTGACCAATGTCTCGAGCCAGGATTTAGGGCCCCATCAGCCTGTTTCCCAGTCCCAGGCACTCACCTGTTTACCTTGGATCATTGTTGCATTACAAGTCTAACATCTGCTTGTAATTCTGCAGTGAGTACTACTGTGGTTTGGATCTTGAATGTTTTTCTCCCCTCAATGGCTCACATGTGTCCCTGGCCCAAGGTGTTATTAGGAGATGACAGAACCTGAAGGGTCTGGGCTTAGTGGGAAGGTCATGGCATGACCTTGAAGGGGATCTGGAGACCCCAGCCCTTCCCTCTGCTTCACAGTTCCCATGAAGTTGAGGAGCTTCCTCAGCAGCCCACTCCTGTGCTGACGTGCTGCCTTCACCCGGCCCTCCTAAATTAAAACCTGCACACTGGTAAGCCACAAAGAAACCTTTTCCTCTCTTAAGCCAATTTACCTCAGGTATTTGTTACACTAATGGAAATCTGACTAACAAAATGCATTAGATATCTTAAAATGGACAAAATGTTACATTAGAATGTGTAATCCCTGCACTCAGAAGCCTGGGGCAGTAAGGTCATAAGACCAGCCTGAGCTACATAACAAGACTTTGTGTCTCCAAAACCACAAAGGTAATAAAATACGTTAGCAGTGTGTAGTTGGCTAGTAGGAGGCAGGAGAATCACACATGTGAGGGTAGCCTGGACTGTAGCAAAACCCATCTCAAAAAATCCAAACTAATAAAGTAATAAAAAAAATATTTTGGCATAAAATACTTGAGAGAAAAAACAATTCCTTTCCTCTCCTTTCAGGTCAATGGAAGGTCAGCCTATGAGGGTTTTCCTCTTATCCAGCAAGAATTTTTAGGACTCAGGCGAAGACCTAGAAAGTCAGACCTAAGAACAGGAAGTTTGGGTAGCCAGACAACTCACTCTGGCTGGATGCAGTCCAGAGTGCAAATGTTGAAATGCTGAAATTCACTCTGTGGCTAAATATTTACCAAACATAAACACTTTCTACTGGACCATTGACTGGTAATGAGGAAAACAGAGAGCAAGTGGGTCTGCTTTCACCTAGCTAACAGGAGACGGTGGTAATAAAACAAATAACCACTGTTTGTGTGCTTTCCACAGGGCAAGCACCGTCCAGAGTGCTGTGTAACCGCCACAGAAGGGCGCACTTGATAGACCATGTTGGAATTACAGACAGAATGACTGGCAGCTGGGAGGCAGTCTTAAAGGGGAAGGAGATAGCTTGTGCTGCTACCCTAGATAATCACTGAAGGCAGCATGCTCACACGAGCATAGACTTTTTCTAGAAAGGATACAGCATTTTGTGCACATCAGGAAATGAACAGATGACTTCATTTGAATTAAACCCCTTCTTTTATACATGAATACATGCAGGACAAAGTGTTAAGTTAGACTTTATTTTTTCTCCCAGAAAATATAGTGAGCAAACTATATAAAAAATGAACTGGTGCCGGCCACTGGTGGCTCATGCCTGTAATCCTAGCTATTCAGGAGGCTGATATCTGAGGATCGCAGTTCAAAGCTAGCCCATGCAAGAAAGTCTGTGAGACTCTTATCTCCAATAAACCACTCAGAAAACCAGAAGTGTTGTTGTGGCTCAAGTGGGAGAGTGCTAGCCTTGAGCTGAAGAGCTCAGGGATAGCGCCCAGGCCCAGAGTTCAAGCCCCATGACTGACAAGAGCAAACAAAAAAATGGACTGGTGCAATGGCTTACACTTATAATCCTAACTACTAAGGAGGCAGATCTGAGGATCTTGGTTCAAAGCCAAGCAGACGAATCTGTGACTCTGATCTCCAATTAACCACCAAAAAACTTGAGCTGTAGATATGACTTAAGCAGTAGAGCACTCGTTGTGAGCACAAAGGCCAAGAGATACAGGACTTGAGTTCAAGCACTAGCACAAATACTAATAGGTGCTGATGGCTCATGCCTGTAATCCTGGCTACTCAGAAGGTTAAGATCTGAGGATCATAGTTTGAAGCCATTTGAGGCAGCAAAGTCTAATGCTCTTTTAACCTCAAAAAGCTGGAAGTAGAGAGTGGTAGAGTCCTTGCCTTGAGCAAAAATGCTCATGGACAGCACCCAGACCCTGAGTTCAAGCTCCAGAACTGGCGTAAAAAGCAACAAGTGAATGAGCTGTGTCTTTCCACAATTTCAAAACCTGACAATCAAATTCACATGCTGTATCAATTTAGTTGGCATTCATTTGTCAAGTGCTACTGATTTTGCTTGGTTGTCCACAGCTTTTCTATTCCAATCTTAATCACTAATATTAAATCTCAGTCACGGGATTAAAGTGACTATAGAGTTCAGAAGCCTTGTAGGCAAGAGCAGATTGCTGATAGGAAGCAAATAAACGACCTTCAGATGATTAGATATTGACCTAAGAAACTCTTTACAGGGCTGGGAAAGTGGCTTTGTGGTAGAGTGTTTGCCTAGCATGCATGAAGTTCTGGATTTGATTCCTCAGTACCACATAAACAGAAAAGAAGTGGCACTGTGGATCAAATGGTAGAGCTCTAGCCTTGAGCAAAAGAAACTTAGGGACATTGCCCAAGCCTTGAGTTCAAGCCCCAGGACTCGAGAGAAAAAAAGAAAAACCTCTCACAGTTGTGAGGCCTGATGATACCAAAGCGTAGTGATGGTAACCTCAGCTGATTCAGGGTACAGGTTTCCAGGGCTG